GTGTGTTCTATACTTCTGTTCATTGCTGGTTGGTCAATTATTTAAATCCAAGCATTTTTTTGTTCCTGTTTCCAGGAAAGTGCAATTTGGATACATGGAAGACAGCAATATGCTGAGTGACATCATTCTAAGGTAAGGCAGAATATTTAGAGGGCAATCCAACCCTTGTAGATATTTCTTTTGTATGAAAGCAGAAAACTAAGAGAAACAGAATGGCGAAACTTTGAGATAAATAATACCAATAATAAGAAAGTTATGAATGTGTGAAATTTGAGATTACTAAGTCGATGCGAATCTCAAATTGGCAGTTTGGTCAGTGGATTGTGAGGTAGTCGCTGATAACTTCCATTTGTCGTGTACAGAAATATCATGAATTCCAGCTTTTTATCCTAAGTGCCTTTACTTATGGGGCACTACTCAAAATATATTATGGATAGCATATTATTACAGGTCCTCTAAAGAGAAAAAAACCTCCTGAGTCATATATCAGACATTTTGTGTGCTAGAACAAATGGGAAAGTTATCCACCACTTAATAACAGAGACATTACCCATTCTGCCAATTGGACGAGCCCATACCTATAGTGATTGCAACTTTTTTAAAGTTCATAATTTCCTCATATTTTTGTCCGATTTGGGTCAAACTTTCATCATTCTGTTTCTCTGGTTTTTCTGCTCTTCTCTAGAGTAGTTTGCTATCATGGTTGGATTTCCCTTTGATGTAAATGTTACAACAGCTTTATGCTTTGAATAATCAAGCACTTTACCAAACAGCTAATTGTAGTTGGAACCATATTACAAGTGTTGTGATTCAGCCAAAGTGAGAGATATTAGGGCGTATATACTAAATTAACAAATAATAAACCAAATTAATGGTGACTGTTTTTAATTTCCAGCATATATAACAGTCGCCTAACATTTTGAGTCATTGCTTTTGCATGATGCATTTTTTCATAAACAAAGAGAAATTGTAATAACTTCAGATTTCTTAAAGGGATAGTTGAGTTTTTGTATAGAGGGCACGACACAAAATGATTATTGGGGGTCTAAAATTAAGTTCATAGCAATTTTAATTCCTAAAGGGCACTAGAAATGTAATAAATAAGAATAAGAGCAATTAAACCATGCACTTTGAAGGCATTTGCCTTCTTAAACAAGAACCCAAGTCTTTCTACATTTAGATTTCAAGTCTTGGAGCAAATAATTGCCAAGATTGTTGAGTTACGCAGCACTTTATGTAATACAGGCCTGAGAATTACCAGATTTAAATCGGTTTCCTGATTTATTTATTTCCCCCAATTTTCTTACTCAAAAGGGGGCGGGGGGGGGGGGGGGTTAGATGCCATTTTTTCCCAAATCCTTTTTGTTTTTTAACTCTAGGGGGGGGGGTGGTTGAGGAAAAATAAAGAACCCTTTTTTTTTTAGTGTTCACTATCACCCCTGGTAATAGAATGTATCAATGTACTCTATTGTGGAATATTTCCAATTTCTGTGAAAAGTGAAGATGGGTTGTTACATAAATCTCTTGCTGAAAACTATAGATTAAATTAGACTGCTCCAAACTGAAGTTTCCTCTAATTGATATTAATGAGTCATGATGATAATAATAACAAACAATATTTGTATTTCGCACATCACTATTCAGTCCTTAGCTTATCTATTCTTTTGGTGTAATAAAAGAAGCTGTGGTTAATATCTGGGGGATGTTTCACACAGAACTTAAGTCGAACTTAACTCTAAATTGGACTTTAAAAATATGGAGAGCCATTTGTAGCCTTAAAATAAAATTATTCAAAAGTAAAAATTCAAGTATTTTAGACTTCATAAATTCCACATCAAGAACATGAAATATCCTTGGTAATAGAAAATATGGATGATTTGACTCAACATTGTATGCCTTTTAAAATAAATTTTACAAAATATTTTCAAAGATGCTAACTGCTTTCCGTAATCATTAAGTCCAACTTAAAGATAAGTTCAACTTTAAGGATCTTTGTGAAACGCCCTCCAGATTGTATATTTTTCGTTAATAACATTTGTTTTCATAAACTTTTGACTTGTGTGTAGGTCAGTAGAGGTACCAGGTATCTTTATCATTGATCCAGTCACCTATCTGTACTATGAAGTAGATGAACCTCTAGAGCAGACGGAGGAATCCTTAGTCGACTTCTTGAATGGTATCATTGACGGTACCGTGAAGGTGAGTCTTTGTTAATCCTTTGAACTCTAAGCATGAGAAAACTTATACTGAAGTCTATGGGAATGTGTGTTATATCAAAATCAAATCATATCCAACTGGTTAATCGTCTGATTTTATTTAGTGAATTGTATATTCATTCAGAATCTGTCAGTGGGACGTAAGGTTGAATTGTAAGAAAAAAATAACAGTTAAAAACAAACTTTATATATGCAACAACATTTAACAATACTATTGTATACAATAGTATACATACACATTATGAGGAAATATAAAAAATAATGTGTGATTTGGAATGGCACAGGTGATCCATAATTAACATAATTGATTAATAGAATTGTCTCATTTTCCATCCAAAAGAAGAACATAAGTACCCGTAGTATTCATTGAGAAGAGAAGAGAAAAGAGAAATATATGGGGAAAAGAGAGCAAAAAAGCTGGATGAAGAGAAGGGAGAGACTGAATGTAAGAAGCTTTTGTAATGATATAAAATGAAAAATAAGTGTGACCCTGTAATTATAGACTGATAATATGAAACAATGACTGTATGATACATTATATTATTTGTTGAATATTTGATTTGTGACACGCAGTCTACTGATACATGGCAGATGATGGTTCTGCTATGGGCAATACCCCTATATTTTTCTCTTCCGGGCATCCATGTGACTCTTTTCTAAATGTACTCTTGTTTTGTATTCAATGATTGTCTTTGTTTTGCCTGATTAATAATAATAATAATAATATTTATCTTTTCCCTTTTATTTCAGGCTAAAGGAGGCAATAGCTTCTTCAGAAAGATCTACAGAGTGTTCTATGAAATCATCAAGAGTGTTGTGGTGAGTATAAATATCCATCAAATCAAATCCAAATAGAAAGATGATACAAAGAGCTTCCTCACAGGAAGTTCCTCCTTTCATAGCTTCTTCCAACTTAAAGATAAAGTTGAGTTCTGGCATGCGATTGCATTGTGAAAGAAACGGTGTGGAATTGATCAGAAAAGGTTGATCCTCTAGCATATAAGTATTGGTGTTTACTAAAAGGTTGTAGAATCATCAAAATGATAAGAAAGTTGGCCCAGTCTTGGTAAAGTTACAAGCACTGTACACAGAAAGGTGTATATGGGACTACACAAACATGTGGCATAAAAATCAGTCCCGATAATACATGCCATATTTAAAATATGAAGGCATATGAAGAGCCATGCTTTTAGGCAACATAATTTATCTGATGTTCTTCCACACTTGCATAATAACAACGATAACAATCACAAATTATTTTTCACCTGTTCCCAAAACTCAACCTTCTCTTAAAAGACCCTACCTGTAGATTGTTCATTGTTAGTGTTACCCAGGCAACAGATCTTTGTAGTTGAGAGATTGGGATAAAATAACCTGCTCTAGTTTCCTGAGTCATATTACCTCAAAATTAAAATTCCTCAACCCTTGTCTAGCATCCCCCATTCAATGTTCTCAATGGGCATTGTTAATTCTTAAGGGTAATCCTTTCTTTGTGTTGTGCAAAGAAGGAAACGCCTTTGAAAGAGCTCTTTCCTGTAGACATTGTATAATGAATTGTGTGTTCACGTGTTGTGCTGTTGTGTTGGTTGTGTTTAATACTCCGAAAGACATGCTGGTAGGGCCTTTATAGGACTACAAATCATGTCTGTGATATAAAAAAATGTACCATGTGAGAGTGGCTATAGGGCACAGCAGCTCGAATTAGATGGGGCAATTCAATATGCATGATATTGCAAGTCATACAAGAACTTCGTACTGTAATACATAAAAAGAGCATATTCTTGGATTTTGAGATATACAGAATGTCTCTCAATCAATAATCACAATATGATCAACACTCATATTTGAAATAACATTCCAACTCCATTATCACGATAGCATATCTGCTCAAATAGATTTATAGTGGATGAAGATATTTGAAAAATCAAACCAGATAACAATTTCTCATCTACTTTTCAGATCTGTTTTAATATTTTGTTTATGTAGATGTATGTCTTGGTTGTCTTTCATTTATTATTCTTTTTTTTTTTAATGATACTGTTCCTCTAATACTGGAGATTGTGTCAAACAGGAGTGCATACTATTCCATGTGGATATGTAAACCTGGGTATCTTGGTCACCTGACTGACATCCCATTGGGTGTTGGCGAACTTATATTTATGACTGTTTCGCCAGCCTCCAGTGTGTGAATGTACATGCCAAAATGCAAAGATGCATGTGTATGTTTATCCTGATATACTCCAGACTTACAGAAAAATAATTAGAAATATGGTAGGGATCAATTGGGCAAAAAGAATTTCCGTTTCGGTTTAATAAAATTTGGAGTGGACTATTAGGCTATCATTATTATTATTATTATTGTTATTATGATTTTTAACCCATTACTTACGGGAACGGGTGAGTCATGTATAAACCTCTATGAGGATTATAGAATTTCAGAGACAACCTCAATTCTTTTAATGCCATTCAACGCAATGTGTGCCAGCAAATCCTGGCTGCCCAAGAATTGGAAAGTTTAACAGAGAATGAAACAGAGAATGCAGCTACCTTCATCATGAAGTTTATATCTATGAAAGATATTTTATGCCAAGTTTATCAGTGGAACCAAACTGCATTTTAAGTCATAATTTCACTCTTGAAAGTTCATGTATTTCAATTGCCCCCAAATGTTGCAACCAAGATGAGGTTAGTGTGTCCTATTTGTAACCAGGGGGGCAGGTGGGGGGGGGGGGGGGGGGGGGAGGGGAGGGGGGGGGGGGAGGGGGGAGGGGGGGGTAAGTGTTTTTTAAAAACTTGTAATAGCGACATGTTTCAATTCTGAAATGACAGGTTAAAAAAGAAAAGTGAGCAATGGGTTAAATATAATCTTAGTCAAGAATATGAAATAATTGTCATTCAATTGCTTGAAAACGCTGCAAGATTCGGCTAAGATGTTTGTTTTTAGACCACCCTGATGTTACAGAGGTTATCCAAAATAGTTTACAGAAATTTACATCAATATCAGCTTTATGTTCAGTGCTGTAGATTGATGCCTGCCCCCCCCCCCCCACCCCCACTCTGCTATTTAGGGTACGTGTATGCATGTTCCCTCCTTTTGAAAACACCCCTCTAAGTCCAGTGTGTAAATCAATACGGGCCAGATTTTTGTGTACAACGAGCCAGACTTTGGAGCGTGAAAAGTACCCCTTTACCAGACACATTTTGGGAACACGAATGCGGTCCCTCTGACCGCGGAGTGGGGGGGGGGGGGGACTGGGGATTGATGAAGTCTATTCCCTGGTAATATGCCAATCCAGTGTGCTATCCTTGCATTATATGTAGCCTGAGAATGAAGCATGATTTACAAACATATGTTTATTCATCTTGGATGTATTTCTACAAACACAAGAGACAAGAAACACAGACTCTTGATATTGGCTGGCATTAACAATTTTGTGTTGTCTTTGATTAGTGCTTCTGTGGTTAATCATTTCATGTTACTAGATGCTGTGGAATACAATGCCTGTGATTGCTTGCGTGGCCATCGTATTCCCTGCGGGGCTCATTGCCTTGGCTTGCTATGATTGCAACCGTACTGCCCCCCATCGTCGAAAGATGAAGAGGCACAGGGCAAGGTCCCGTCGCAAGCTGCATGTGGTCTGAGAGGAGAAGGAGGGATTGGAGAGGATGGAGAGAAGAAAGGAGAGATGCGGATGAGACCAAGCCATGTCAGGTGTGTAGCTGTGTCTGCATGTCTTGGTCTCATTAGCATGGATGAAAGTCTTTCTTAGTGTACATTGCATGATGTTGAAATGAAGGAGATGGAGGAAGAGGAGGAGGGGGGGGGGATGGGGAGGGGGGCGGGTGTAAAGGAACGAAAGAAGGAAGGAGAGTTACAAAACAAACGACTCGGGCCTATTATCTAAACCAAATTGTTATGATCTCCATACCCCTAGTGACATATTCATTGTTAATTTCTAAGGAGGAAGTTCCTCCTCCTCACACCTCCTCCCTCGCCCCCCTTAAAAGAAGGAAAGAGAGAAAGAGTGACAAGAAAGAGAGAAAAGGAAGGAAAGAGAATTCTTGAGAGTGTTGAGAGCCCTTTTCCATGCACCAAACTTAGATGCAAAATGAAACAGCTGTTTTAATTGGTCAATCCTTTTTACAAAAATTGTCCCCACAGATGATGTGGCTAGCTAATCCAATCCTGATGACTCTTCTACTTGCTCTGCCCACCGTGCTCATCACCTTCATCTGCTACAGCATCTGCACCGCGGAGCCCATCGACGAGGATGCAGAGTACCCTGACAGTGACGAGGAGGAGGATGACGAGGGAGATCGGGACGGACCGAAGATCGAGGAGATCGAAGATGAAGATCCATCGGGCCATAAGAAGACAGAGTAACATACAAGGGACCCGTTTCACAAAGCCTTTTTCTCAATGACAAATGACAAAAAAAAAATCAGTGACAAATCTGCTGATAACCAATCAGAAGTAAGGATTTCAGTAGCTTATAACAAAAACTGTCATTTGACACTGATGACAAGTTTTGTGAAACATCTCCCTGTTTTGTAGTCAGATGACTGTTTTAACACATATGCAAGGCATGTGACTGATCATGTGATCCATCACATGATTTGTCATGCTTCGGTGTGCAATTCATATATTGAATAGAAAGAGTCAAACCTCATGGTGTCGAGGAATGAGTAGGCTTAATATTCATGATTTTGTTGTTGTTGTTGAAAAGGTCTGGAAACAGAACAAAAAGTAAAGTTTAGACAGTAATAGGACTGATGTCATGAGACATATCAAAGTTAGTTACGTTCACATTAGGTGAGCCACCCTGAGAAATACATGGAGTAGAAAAGGAGAACCAGGATGATCTCATAGTCAGTGTGACTGAAGAACTATTTAGTTCTACGGTATATCTGAACTGTTCTATATCTGAACTGAAGTGTGCATTATATGAAATGCACACTTCAGTGCTGTATATGAAATACACACTTCAGTGCTGTAGTGTAGTCAGGGTTTTAATAGTTTGTCTTTCAAACTCTAGGCAATTGTGTTGATGATTCCTGCCCCTTTTTTTCTTTGCAACTGTAACTAAAATGTCACTGTATACTGAGCCTTGATACACTTTTGTAATAAATGTAAAGCTGTTGGAAAGTAGTAATACGTAAGATGAATGCACACAAGTACCATCACAGATAATTTTTGTTGTTGTAATGCTGTTTCAAATAATGAAATATTTAAATCTAGTCACAGGTTAGGAATTGTAGGGCTGCTAGTCACAAACTCATTAGGGCTATACTATTTAAGTTTCTTTTTTTTTAAAAGTAATATAGACCAAAGAAGCTTGCCTTGATTGATGTTTGTTTTTAAGGTCATGGTTATCATTAGGATGTCAGTAGGAGCAATGACATTGATAATTATCTTGATCACCAGCTTGATTTTCATAAGCATATAATTAAGCTTCACTAAGCATACATGTATATACTGCATCAACATTAGATAGCTCAATCTTTTTAGTGTAAAACATTGACATCATGTATGATGTATTTGGTGTAAACATCTGACTAATGACATGGCAGTTATTGGAATTCCAAGTTATTGTTAAAAGCAAGAAAGTTAAATACGACTGGATAAGAAATGATAATACACTTATCAAACTATTTACAGAAAGATTACTCAAAAATATTGTTAAAAAATGGAGTCATTTCTTGTCATGAAGAGTTTATAACGTATCTTTTATTTCCAGGAATCTGACAACTCAAGATGGGATGTTATTTTAAAAATGGTTAGCATATGTGTAACTTGTTACTGCATCTTAGAAAATTAATGGAAGTTAATAGTTGGAAGTTAATTAACACAATTGAAAATGATGAATTATGCATTCCATGTAAATGTTTTGGCAAGGTATGATTACAATTAATTTATGTACTTCCCAAATTATGAAAGAGATGTTCCTAAATTTAATTTTCATTTTATATCATAAATTTGTTCAGGCATTGTTTTTGTTTGTGTGTGTTGTACATATTTACAGGTAATATGCACTTTGATACTTGACTTTTATGTAATTTTTGTGAGCAACCCGATAAATAGAAAATAAATCTAGACAATTGTAGGAGTTGAATAATTTTGGTAAATGGGGACTGTCGTCTGTTAGCGTTTTTGTTGTTGTAAAAGTGACTTTATGATTATGTAGTTGTAGAATAAGTACAATAATAGGGCTTTCTAAACCTCAAAATGCTATTTACTCAGAGCATTGTAATAATTTTTCTAAATATTAGCATTTATATGATCAAAATTGCACATTTTTAAATGTTGATATACGGTAAAACAAGAAACTGTCGAGCACAATAGAGTTTGTAAATATTCATGCTATGAAATAATTGCATCACATTCATAACTGACGCCTTGCTGAAATTTTACAGTTCGCTGATGTTTCTTGTGGTGAAAGTGGCCATTGTTTTCAATTCATGAAAGTGACTAGTTTTACTGTATGCAAGATTAAATGATATCGACACTATGAACAGTGCAATCTAGTTTGTTCTATCATGCATTGTTAGATAAATGCCCTTTCAGTATAAATGTTTTTATTGCTATGTGCTTTATGATACTCAAATGATATATTTGAGATTAGTTATGGTGTCTTCATCGTGTAATTTAGGTGCAGGTTTTATGTTTGTACATTTAAATCTACACAATGCACTGTAGTCCTCTTTCGATTCATCTCTGGTTATGGTACATCAAAAGTTACATGTAGGTTTTACAATGTAGACACAGATCATAGAGAGAAGAATTAATGATAGTCTGATTATTCTAAAAGAGCAGAAAGATGCTTGCCATATATTTTCCTCAGGTAAAGCAACATCCCCCAAATCTGATGATCCCCCGCCCGCCCTCCTCCCCCTTGTTTTCTTTCTTGTCAGACTTTTGTTGAAGTATAGACCCCCCAATACACACAAAATCTTGGATTTGCACTGGAAGTCAAATCTGTCCTTCTTTGTGATACATGAGTTTTGTGTGTGGGGAAACTATCAAATGATTCTTTGACCTTTTGAATTAATCTGAGCCATGTCAATGGATTTTATTCCATACATTGTTACTTTAAAGATGTGTTTTTGGTAGAAAAAATGTGATTTGTTATCAATGTTAATTGAATGATTTGTACTGTGAGCCCTTTGTAAGTTGTTGTAATATCACTTTGTTGTAGTTCACTTGCAACAGTACTGACAATAAATTTAGATTTGTATAATGAAGTCTTGCTATTTGAAATGTGCTGAATATTATTGTGCATTGGATGATTGGTGCTCATTACATTTTCATATTTAAAGGCAGAAGAAAAAAAGGAAAAAATATCAATTCTATAAGATAACAGAGGGAGGGAGGGAGAGAGAGAGAGAGGGATAGTGGGATAGAGGAGGGGCTGGAGAAGATGGGAAGTGAGAATGGGAAGTCAAGTGAGAAAGAGAAAGGTTAGTGATCGAGAGAGAGAGAGAGAGAGAGAGAGAGGGAGGGAGAGAGAGAGAGGGATAGTGGGATAGAGGAGGGGCTGGAGAAGATGGGAAGTGAGAATGGGAAGTCAAGTGAGAAAGAGAAAGGTTAGTGATCTCGAGAGAGAGAGAGAGAGAGAGAGAGAGAGAGAGAGAGAGAGAGGGGAGGGAGAGAGAGAGAGGGAGGGAGAGAGAGAGAGGGATAGTGGGATAGAGGAGGGGCTGGAGAAGATGGGAAGTGAGAATGGGAAGTCAAGTGAGAAAGAGAAAGGTTAGTGATCTCGAGAGAGAGAGAGAGAGAGAGAGAGAGAGAGAGAGAGAGAGAGAGAGAGTAAGAGATTATATAGGGAGGAAGCAGGGAAGTGATTTAAAACCACATAATGAACCTGATAAAAGGTAACAACTTTGGATGCTCTTTAAATGCTATTCTTTCAATAATCTTTAACTTCCTACTTTGGTCGATCTTTATGAAAATTGTGGCACTATTATGATATCAAATATAAGATAAGATGATATTTATTCGTTCTTTCAAATAACATCAAGCATAACATTAGATCATTACACATTTACAATGCAATTTTTTTTATTTTTATGGCAATGATAAAAACAAAGTGAACTAAAAGAAAGTCGAGGAGACCCCCTGGTTCAATATAGTTTCAAAATAATTTGATTTTTAGACTATATGATGGATGTCATATCATAGTCTAAAAATCAAAGTATTTTGAAACTTTGTGATGGATAGTCTAAAAATCAAAGTAATTTGAAACTTTATTTTTGACATCCATTCCTCATACATTCCTACAATTCACGGGTGTTTGTCTACCGTTATGTTTATCTGAATATGGGGTACCCGCACTCTTAGTCAAAACCGAAGTTGGCATATCGCGTGGTATCACAATAAGGTATCACACATAATATTCTTATCTTTATTTTTGACCACAGCACGGACGTAATAAACTGGACGATCGCACCGTATGAATATGTTCCACGCCAGATTTCACGGTTGATTGATCAGTGCTGTTGATGTGGCATCGTCAATTCCTAGCGTTGGAATTGTACACGCGATCTGCCAGCGGAAATTTGTATTGAACCCACCGCACCACGCTCCCATCGCCAACGGAGCGCAACCCTGGTCGTTATTGTCGCTCCATGTCATAATCGAGCTAGCTAGCTTTGCATGCTCTACAGCTCTCTAGCTCTGCCTCTAGTTACCGCTATCTCCAGCTCCAGTCCACGTCGCGTCCCATACAAGAGTAGAGTCTAGACCAAAATTACGGAAGGAAGCTCACTTGTTTATGCTGACATCCTACCATTCTTACTTGGCAACGATATGGATTCAGACGAGGCAAGATAGACCCTAAAATCACATGAAATGAAATATGGTAAATATGCTTTTTCCATTAAAACTTTAAATGAAAGGACAAGATGTGAATATATTTTTTATTAGATTGAGCGATGACAAACATTCATTCACGAAGAAGAAGTCCATACGGCTATGTTCACCTCAAAATGTCAAATTAAAAAGTTTTTGTGTCACTGAGCTGACCGAGACGAGTCGCAGGCTGGTTTATTACTCATTTTTACTACTAATTAACTTCTCTCTTCTTTCTTGATAACCATGAATATGATAACCATGCATATGATAACAATACTAGACCCCTATTAATTTGTGTTAATCGTTGTTTTAATTGCAATCTACTGCCATTGGTAATCATGCCAATTCATGGTATGATGGGGGAAGGGGGGGGGGGGGGTTGGGTCACGTGTCAGGACACTTAACAAACAAAAAGACTTCTCTTCTGCCTTTGGATTTAACGGAAAGTATTTATCAAATAGCACTAACCATCGATCAAGAATATGAATACCCCGGTATGTGTCCTGTATATATTGTCAAACGTAATTAAGTCTTAGAAATAGACCCTAGAAGATTTATGGTATATTGCTTGTGAATTTCTTCGAATTGATGTGATATAATATCAACTGACAGATACACAACCTGTCCAGACATACATTACGTCACATATATTTTTAAAATATACCAATTATCTTGTCATAAAGTATGTTCCATGCGCATGAATATTAAAGTGCCATTTTATTAATAATACGCACATTCGTACAAAGTTTGAGCGCAGGCAAAGGGATAACAGAAAAGACAAAAGTTACAATTTTCAGAATTTCAATGTTAAAAACAGTAAAGATACAACAATATTAGAGATGAAACGAGTTTCAGAATACCACCCCAGAATTCTAAATCTGAGTTGAGATATATGGTCTTATTATCCAAACATTCAAATACATTAATATAACAATAGTAGCAATAATAAAACCATGTTTAAATCTACAATGAATGTGTACATGTAGATCCAGACTCTAAATAAGATCCTATTGAATTGATTGCAACTCTCGACAAAACATCAAGCATTTTGGATTACGAGCCCCCCCCCCCCCCGCCAAATTTGATAATCTTTTTTTCCTGTTTATTCTTTCTTTTGCTTGCTTGCTTGTCTTTTTGGATTAGAGCCCCCCCCCCCCCCCCCCCCCCCCCCAGCTGAATTTGATAATCTTTTTTTTCAAGCGTATGCTAGTACATGTACAGTGAGTGTTTAAACTGAAATATCGGCCCTGTTGTAGTTATTTGCTATGAATTTTGTGCAGGGTACCAGTACATTAGTGACCTATTGAACTATTACCTAATTTGTGAATTTTAGCTGTTCTCTGAAACAAGTGCCGCAGCCCTCAGATCTCAGCATTTTATAAATCTTAATGTTTCTTTTTTCTCTAGATTTTCTGGGATTTCTCGACCATGTTGAACTAGCAACATTTGGAGCAGCTGTGGAAAAATACTTCAGAACTTTGGAACGAGAATACATCAGACAAAGCAGCTGGAATTCGTAATCAAGAATTGATACATGTAGCAGAATCGTTTTGGAAAGCTAAGACTCACACAAGCTGAGAGAAGGAAAATAAAACTATTGAGTCATCATGGAAATCTATGTGATATCAGCGTTCTTATTGTCTCTGTTTATGTGCGCAATAGATGCACTGACAGTAGACTTCTCCAACTACAAGCCAAAGTATACTACTCACCCTTTGCTGTATTTTAACAAGCGAGACATTCCAGACTTGATTGCAAAAGCCAGCACAACTCATGAACATATAACAAAGGTCATCGATGAAGCCGTTACCATCTTGATGGGTAACCCCAAGCGATTCTTACCCCCCACGGACTATGCAAAGTTTGGAGGAATATGGAACGAGTATTATGGCAATAATCTACCTCCCCTGGCGCTGTACACCGTGCTTCACCCAGAAGATAAAAAGGCCAAGATATTTTTACTGGAGTACATGGATTTGATGGCTGGACATCCAAAGTGGCAAGTTATTGCTGCAGCTACAGATGAAGTCCCTGTGGCACATTCCCTGACTGGCTTTGCTACTGCCTTTGACTGGATATACAACACGCTGGATAGCAAACGCCAGAAGCTGTATCTCCAACGTATATTTAACGAGACCAAAGATTTTAATCGGTATATAAAGATTCGCTCGTGGGGACATTTTTATCTACAGAATCATGTTGCTACGAATCTGCTGGCATTCCTGCATGGAGCCCTTGTAGTGCATGCTCATCTTGAAGAAGCAAAGACATGGGTAGAAACGGCTGTTTATAAGTTAGAACAGAATATGAAGCTTTTCAACCACCTCATCGATGGATCCTCTGATGAAGGAGTGCCCTATGGTTCATATACATCAAGGTCAATGATGCAATATATCTTTCTCGCTTTAAGACATTTCAGGATTGATCACACTAAAGATATCTGGGTGAAAGAGCATTATTGGTTTTACTATCACACTGTTAAACCTCAGTTCCAGAGAACCCTCAGTGTTGCTGACTCTAACCACAATTGGTTCTATGGTCCTGAGAGTCAGGCTGTATTTCTGGATGCCTATGTGATGAAGAACGGCTGGGGAAATTGGTTGGCGAGGGAGATTCGGAATGCACGTCCAGATCCGTTGACAGATACAGAAAAGCTAAAATCTGCCGATTCTCAGAGGTGGTGCACAATACATACTGAGTACATCTGGTATGATGCTACCATCCCAGCTGTTCCTCCACCTTCCAGTGGGAAACCTACCATGCACGTATTCTCTGATTGGGGAGTAGTGACGTACAGCAGTACGGATCCAAGGAACCCCAATGACACGTTTTTGTCCTTCAAGTCAGGTGCCCTCATGGGTGCTGCTATGAGTGATGTGGTTAAGAGGGACATGTACAAATCTTGGCCGATGAACGGATGGAATAGCTTTAACCCAGGGCATGAACATCCCGATCAGAATACCTTTGAGTTTGTGCCCAATGGACGACTGTTTGTGACTGATGGACTCTACTCTTCCAAGCTGTCACATTACAATAATATTCTCTCATTTGCTCCATCCCCAACCAGCCACTGCCAAGAGCCATGGGAGGGGCAGCTTGGTGAATGTGCAAAATGGCTTGACTGGAAGAATCCTGACTTGGTTGAGTATCGTGGAGATCTCATTAGTACTGCAACCTCAAATGACTTTGTATTCATCGCCGGTGAAGCAGCTCCTGCATACAACCCATCAATGAAACTTGAATCTGTTTATAGATCCTTAACTCTCTTGAATCCTAACCTACTCTTGGTGTTTGATCATGTGGAAGCAAGCGAATCATCTCCTCTGACCCACTTGGCAGCATACTTTCGCAATGTTCAGTACAGTTTTGAGCTTGACAAGTTGTCATCTTTGCTTCAAGGTGCCAGTATAACTATGGATGGAGAAAAGTACAGCATGTATTGGATTAGTTCAGATGGAAGAAGCACAGTGGCAGCTGTCCAAGAAGAGAAGCCCTCTCAGTACCAAGCACGTCCTACAAGCTTTGTGAATATGACCTTCAAGCTATCGCCCCGCATAACAAGGCTTGCGTATATCCTCTGTGGTCCATCAATCAAGCTCAAAAATCTGCAGTTCCTTGAGAGCATTGAAGATGGAGTCACCATGTTTGTTGGGACTTCTGATGAAGACTACCAGGTGATGGTCAGCACCAAGCACTCGGATCCTGTTGCTCGTCTGAGGTACCTCAAGTATCCTGGTCATGCCACTGTACAAAGGTTGAGCAAGCCATCAGAAATAGTGAAGTTTGGTGTAGCACAGTCATTCTTTACAGAGACTCCCTCTCAATTGGACAGCTCACCCGTTAAATGGATCTTATTCATTGCATTTATTTTGTCAGCTCTTGCATTTTTCTGGTTTGGCAAGAAAACAAGATTGAGACCAAGGAGTAGAATACATTCCATCGGCATAGGACTTTGCTTCGTATGGGTGATCATATGGGTAAGCGTTATCAATAACTGTGCAATCTTTGGTTGTGATACTGATGAGGAATTAGAGAACTCTGTCCGATCATCTGGACACCAAGCACCTCTCAATACATTGAACAACAAAATGCTGCCCTCAGTGGTGATCACTTCTTTGCCAGGGTCAGGTGCAGAGCTCATCAGCTGGCTCTTTCATGAGAACCCTGACTTCATCTACATGGTAGCTCCCTCCATTTACGCTCGCCTACCTCGAGGTGACGGTATTGAAGTCAACCCAATCACGGATGCCTGCGAATGGAATGATAGCGAGTCTCTTCATTCTGTCAAGCTCAAACAATGGGTGCAGGACATGCGATGGAGCCCAGAGTTGTTTGTGTCTTCTATCACGGACAAAAACCCTCAGTCAGATGTGCATTTCACCCAGGAAATGATCCAAGCTAAAAAGATAGGACGTCGTCTCCTTGCCGTACAAGAACAACCAAAGATTGAAAATAAGGAATTCAATGACATCATTTATAAGACCTTCTCTCCAAACAGTGTGCGTAGCCATTTGGAGAAGTACCCCAATGCCCAGGGTGTTCTCTTTTTCAAAAGTGGGGGATGGACTCTGAAACTTCCCTGGATCAACAGTGTTCTCAAAAACACTCTTCATGCCATTCATTTTGTGCGTGATCCAAGAGCATTCGTCGCCAATTACCTCCGCAAGTCTGAGGAATTGTACAAAGCCATGGATGTCAAGCAAAGCATCAAGGACCTGTTTGACCAGTCAGAAAAGTCTTGTGTTGATGATAATGGACAATATGCTTGGGAATTTGAAAAGCTACGTGCGGAATACAGAGCCAATAAGAACTCTGCTCTACGGCTGTTGGCATCTCTATGGGCGTCGCACACTGGAGCCATTTTGCGGAAAGCGAGTGATTTACCAATTGGTGCCTTCAAGTTGGTGAAGGTGGAAGACCTTGTCATGGAGTCGGAGAAAACAGCTGAAGCTATTCACCGTCATATAGGTGAGACATACTGTATAACTGTACATGTATAGAGTGGTGAAGTGTGACGTCATCAAAAATCTATTTTTAGAATTTCTCAATTTTTTCTTCATATTCCGAAAGAACACCAAAAATAATGTCCTATTGTCGAAAACCAATTTAATAAGTTAAGTATTGGCCGAGATACATGTATGACCACCTGAATGAATATATGTCCTATGGGAACTCAGTGTTGCTCTGGCTCCTAACCATTAGGAGCCAGAGCATATAACACTGAGTTCCTATGGGGAGTATATTTATTCAGATGGTCATATCTCGGCCAATACTTAACATATTCAATTGGTTTTCGACGTTTGGACATAATTTTTGGTGTTCTTTCGGAATATGAAGAAAAAATTGAGAAATTCTAAAAATTGATTTTTATGACGTCACAGCTTCGGTACTCTATATCATGGGGCTATAGTATTCATGAAAGTAATAGGCAGGTCCACATTATTTTCTAAGATATCTAAGGTTTCAGTATATAGAGTATCTGATTAGTATATTAAGTTGATAGCCCTCCTAGAGCTCATGTCAGATAAAATATGACATAGAAATTACACTTTATGTTCATAATTCCCTAATGGAACTCCAAGTACATGTAGTTGAATCAACACTCTACAGGTATTTATTATACTGAGGAAACATCATTTGGCCTTTTGGCTTATTTTGAGTTACACTTTACAGAAAAAATATGTGTACCGTACATAGTAACATGTAGCAAATAATGTAAACAAAGCTTAAAAATGCAGAGAAAACTCTTCTATGGATTGCACATGAAATTAGAGTGCCTTTGATAGATTGTATGTTCTGAAATCTGAAACATTTTATTGAAAGCAAGATATGTACAGATTTCTCAGTTTTGATGATTTTTATTTTTTAACACAAGGAAGATTATTTGTTTACTTTAAATTTTTAAAATATATATTGTGGCACTTATCATTATCCTTATTTGCAGTGTAATATATTCATGAGAGCTCTTTTGAATTTGCAATCAACAGAGTGAGATTCCCGATGACATTTAAAAATATCTACCTAATTGCTATATGATATCTACCAGAAAACGTTTTTAATTATACCACAGCTCTTATAGAGTTTCCAGAGTTAAATCACTGCATATTAATATTATTGTCATTGCTAGTATGTGAAATATGTTATTGAACACCCTGCTTTGCTATTTACTTGCACTTTTTTTTTACTCATGTATAACAGGTATACCATTGCGGCCTACAACCCTTCAAAAACTAATCCAAGCCGCCAAAAGCAGCGTCTACAAACTCCCTTACGAGCTAGCTTACTCAGAGCGTTCCATCGACTTGTGGCGTCGGGAGCTCAATACAGAACAGATCACCGAGATTGAGCAGATCTGTGGACCAGTCATGACGCAGCTGGGTTATGTAAGGGAAACAAAATCCATGCCTGTGAACGAAACATAGTCACAGGAAGTATTTCATTTTGATGCATTTATTCTGTACTAATCATAATGTGAAACGAAAGTGTGAATCTTCAATGACTTCTGAACAGTGATAGTTAAAAGCACAAACCATCATGTGAGTACTGTTATCCAACTTCTCTGGATCAGTTGGCAAAGAAATCTGAAACAAATGACTTCTGTGTCTAGGAACGATTTCTTAGGTATGTGAGGAACTTTTTTAGAAATGATAGCCAGTAAAGCCAAGTATGAAAACAAGTTGTTCATCTTTTTATGCTTAAACCTAGTTCTAAGATATGCAATCAAGACAATTTTGTTGGCATACAGCCTTTTTATTTTGCTCAGTATAGATTTTAGTAAAAGAATACAAGCATTTTGTAATAAAGATATTTTTTGCATAAGTGCTTGATGTAATATGGAAACTTGAAATTGAAGATCATTTGCAAATTTTGCATGTATATTGTGATGTGTAATAATACTAAAAAGCAACCTTATTATGCATATCGAAGATACATGTGTTAAAGGTTGGTTTTTTATTATTATTAATTAATTCATGGTATAAAAACAAAATATGACTACCAGCCAATCGTTGAATCGTTGTTCAGATTTTACAGGCAAGTTTTAGAAGTACATAAAATACAATACAATACTGAAAAAGATAAGAATGTACAAAAGCCAGATGATACTCAGGCGTGGGGAAACAGATTGGAAGGATTTAAAGCCAGCTTGTGTTTGGTATTCAGAAATGAGAAAGGAAGGAGCCGATAACTCATTGTTGGTCATCATGCATAACTTTATTATTGCGTTTGAAAATCATTTTGAAATGCTATTTCCATTTAGAATTCATAAAATCTTGTGGATGATAGATATACAACCCAGACAGTGGTAATTCTAAATATTTTGCCAGTCATTTTCTAAATCTTAGCTACCCGAACTTGACTCGTGTTCTGATATGTAACATCCAGTGTTTAGGCAGCGGTGTATATTATATCTGGCCTTCAAAGTGGGAAGAGGAAAAGAACAATGTCAGTACACAAACAGAAGAAAGAAAGAGAGGAAGAATACAACAATGTAGATCTGTAACAGGTGCATATCATTTGTGCTAATATACAGGTACATGATACATTTTTTATAAATCCCACATTGCTTACAAATTCTTGCAGAGTTGGACATTTGGAAGACAATTTATTTTTTAACTCAATCGGTTCAGATTATTTGGTCATATTTATTTACCTTTTCTGAAATGGCAGTTTATGATACATTGAATATCCTTTCAACTTAACTGAGCCGCAGATTAAGAGAGAGAGAGAAGGGGGTCACAATTAGGCTATGTTCTCCCATATTGTATTAAACACACACACAAATAACTTCCTTTATTGTGTTTTGGAAGTGCCTAATTACCTCCATCAACTTTTGTTAACACTTTTATGAGTTATTTATCATTTTTAATAACCTCTCCAGTCTCCCTCCTTGATTAATTGATCATCAATGCTTCAGTATGGCCTTGGTTAAATATGCAGTGATGAACTGAACTGCAGCCTTTGTTTGTTGTTGTTGCGATGACATAAAGTGTAATTAATTGTGAGCAGTTGACACGTAAAATACACCTTTTGGAGAAGGGGGGAGGGAGGGGGTGGCAGTTTACCTTGTCATATCTGAATGTGCCTCAATGCATGCACATTTAGAATCACTGAGGTTTTAATGATTATTCTGATATTACACTGCACAGTCACAGGAAGTGGTAGAAACCATTGAAAAGGGGAAAGAGTTATTTCTGATATATGAATGGAACCACCTGTCAAACTGTCCATATTGACCTTGCTGAATGAGTATTGTGATACATGTACACTAGTATCTGACTTTTGAAGGCTGCATGCGTGGAGGCTGGTATATGTGTACTCGATCAACTGGGCTTACACGTAACATGTACATGTACATGTACATGTAGATAGGCCTCTACACCTGTCACACTACCAAACTGACCAAAAGCTTGACCATTTGGGGGTGATGTACAGGTTGTAATTATATGTTGTTGTTTTTTAGGTTTATGGGCATTTATCATTCAGGGGTGAATATTTACGCCTCTTCTGCTAGGATTTTTTTCCTTTCAAATTAGATTGACTTTTCTAAGTACTGGTAAATAGATTTGGAGAAATTGGATTTTACAAGTTAAATGTTTTATTTAATGTTAAAGAGGTCAGTGGCTAGCAAGCCGAAGACCTATCAGCTGTATTGGACGTCCAAGGACCACCCGGACACGGGATGTGCAGTTTATTGTTAGTCTTGTTTCAGTATTGTTGGTGTTACTGGGGTATTTACAGGTGTACTGTAAATACTGTTAAAGCTGTTTTAAAAAAATGAATGTAACCATTTCAATATACTTACAGTTCCCGTGAGTGAAAACTACGCATATACATGTACAAACATTAAATTGTAAATTTAGATATTTATTTTTGAGCCTGTATTAGGGGTTGTCAAATGTAGGCTGTCAAGTGTAGTCCCCCAGCCCCTGTAAAATACAAGAATGTATTGAGAAGTTGACTGGATACTGATATGTGGAGGCTGTGTGAACACTGGCTGACTGGCTGAAAATCTTTGTTATAACATAACAAAATGATTCTTTTATATATTTAAGAATTTGTATGCTGTCATCTGTACACTGTTGACTTCTGTCTTCTAAAAAATGCAGTGTTTCTGACAAAATAATTTATCATTGTGCCATGCTGTTGAGATGCAGCTAATTTTGTTAAATTTTTGTATTTCTATACTGCTATACATGTATAATCCAATCGTGATTTCCTTTTGTGATATATCCTCTCAGCAATATAGATAAAATACTTTTATATGTCTTATTTGTAGCGACATGTGTAAATAAAGACGTGAGGAACTGCCAATGGCAGAAATGTAGAGCGCATTGTGCATTCAATTCATTTGTATAATAATGAAATTATGTCCATGTATAGCAAAATTATGATATATATGCAAAATCATGCAATGATTTATACCTGACTCACCTGTGTGCTATAGTTAACCATTTCTTTATTTTTATTATTTGATGTACATGTACGTGTACACCTCGTGTAGATAAATATTTGATTTGCTATTTACCTTTCTTGAAAAGGAATTTTCAAGAAGTCTTTGTTATTTTTGATGATCAGTTTGCTCTATATGTTTGATGTGGTTACAACTCACGGAGCTCTTATGAGGCTAACTTTTAAATGAGAGATTTGTACAAACCTGTCCACTGCAGAGATAGAGTAAAAAAAAATACAAACATTTGCTATTTTCTCGAGATAGATCGTGATCTCAGTCACAAACAAAATTTATGCAAGGCTCCGTCAAATTTTGTGATGTGGTGCATTTTATACAAGACCCTTTTTGGACAGGAAGATTGTAACTTTGAAAATATGTTATCTTTTCATATAAATATGTAGTTTGAAATATATGTACATGTAGCTGGTATGTGTATTTTTAATTCAAAAAATTGCATCTTAAGTGACAAATCATGGTATTTACACAGCTCTTTTTAAACAAATGTGCCTACACACGTTCCTTGTTTTGTTATTATTTGAAATTTAATTTATGATCAGTTTAAAAAGAAATCAGTTGTCTTGTCTTTACAGTTTGTTAAATATATTATCCTATAAATGATTATACATACATTTACAAAGATAAAGGTAAATGTGCATACACTTAAAGCACTATGTGTACTCGTACTAAAAGAACATAAACCTGAGCTGTTACAGTACATGGGTTTTATTGTAGGAATGTTGTAGCTTAACTAGTAGCTTACCTAATATTAAACTACCGGTACATGTATTGTTTACCATACAGATATAATGAATGCTTAAGAGTAGAATGAACATTCTTTGTGATGTTTACTATTAAATGTAGTGTTTATTTTTCTTTACACAATAGCAATTGTTTAGTTCATTATGGTTGTAAAACTGTTTTAAGGGTATTGAGAGCAAGGTAGTCCTATTTGGATTGGACACCTCCTTTTAGCCCTGATATTGTACCTCCAATACCGGTAGTTATAATTGGATATGTGTAGTACATGTATCATATTCTAGTGCTGGCCAATAGTCTATTTAATATACAGGTCATTTAAATAGTTAGAGGTGTGTATTTTAGGAGGTTTTTAATTTCTTGAGTAATGTGCTGTTTCTTAGAAATGCAGGAATTTTGTTCCATCGGGTAGTGGTACCAGTAACATTTAGATTGGATGATGCATGAATAACATGTTTTGGCCATTCAAGTGGTTATCCTGTTTCTGTTTCAAAGAAGGAGAATGTCGAGTATGGAAAAGGAAACCTTAACATGCGTGAAACTTTCACTCCTTCTGTATAAAGTGATGAAGATTCACAAAAGGTATATAATGTATGCTTGGAAAAACATGAAGTAGAATTAGATCGAATCACTATTGTGGATTATCAGAATTCACAAAAGTCTTTGGTTGTGTCAGGGTCATCTCCCTGGTACCACCGTATAATTGCAGCTAGTATTTGAATCCCTAGTTGTAAGATTATGTGAAAATGCATTATTTTTGTCAGATTTTCACTTGCCAAATTAATTCTTTTACTGACCACAGAGAAATGCTAAGCTTCTGTTGCAATCTTTACTAAGATACTTCAGTATTGTTGAGCCACTTATATTGTGATTTGGACAAGTGTTCATGTAAGTTTTTAAGTATTGGATCAATTGTGGCAAGTCGGGGTTTAATAAACTAAGCTACCTGTACAGTATATACATCATTGGGGGTTGACACTTCTGTATACTTATCGTAGACCATGTGGTAGTAACTTTTACACCATAATATTGGGATAGGGAGGAACCTAACTCTTTTGCGATCATTTCATTTTTGCGGCCGATTATTCCCAACACACGGACGAAAATGAATCCATTTTGGTGGATGGGAATTTTTGCTAGTTAACATTTGCAACATTTGTGAAAAGTGAAATGTCACACTGACAATGCAATGCTCTTTCAGTCTTCATGCAGACAGCCAACGATATATACTACATGTACATGAATTATAAAGTAACATCATAGTTAGTAATACAGGGTGATGGTTGTCTCTTCCGACTTTTATTCAGGGTAAAGTTCATCCGTTATCCAAATTAATCAAAATCTATTTACCGGTAGACCTTTGTCAGTCGGCAAAGCACTGCACAAGCGGTTTCCCTTGCTTGACTTTGGAATTGTTATAGAATAATGTCACGAATTGATTCATTGATTGTAATTTGTTGTTCTTTAGCTTTAAGCCAATACTAATGATGAGGCTGATTTCCGCTTTCTTTCTTTTTTGTACAGAAGAATTTTCAAAGGTGCCTTTTTATAGAAAAGTTATGAAAATGTATGATAATGTCGATGAATTTAAAGTTTCTTACCACCTTGACCAATTTAAATTTTTCTGGACCGAATGCTCTCCATCATTTTTGTATTACTTGATAATTTACTACAAACTCTACATGCTGCCCCTCCTAAATGTTAGACATTTGTTTGTTCTTATTCTTTGTAGAAATACATGTATACCAACTTGTTCAAAACATTTTTTTCATACTTGGTTCATTGAGTTTGATCTTTGGGAATTCCAAGATCATTTGAATTTTCCCCCTTTCTTTCTTTATTCATATTTTGTTCTTGGTGAATGTTTGATTTGAAATTTAAAAGTTTATTTATGTAATTTTTGTATACATGTATTGTCTTTGAAATTTGATAATTGAATTGTAGAATACTTGCACATACCAGTGAATTGATGTAAAAATATAGTAGGTTGTGCATACATTGCATATTTTTTACATGCTACAAAGAATTAGGGTCTATAGGTATTATTAACATATCAAGGGGTCAGTGACGCACAGACGTAACTCCATTTTGGCCATTTTGAGAAAAAGTGGTTTATGTGTCACTGAGCACTTGGGCCTTAAGTCTATGTTTCACTAGCCTTTGACTTCAATGGGATGTTAGGTGGAAAGCCCACATTTTTCTGAACATTTTGATATCAAATACTCATTTTGGCAAAATATGGAGTTACGTCTTTGTGTCACTGAACCGGCCTAGATATATGAATTAAATGACCTTGTTATATGTTGATGATTATGATGATTGATTGGGGGAGGGCATGCCTCGTTAATGATGTTTTATTCAAATAAATAAATAAATGTGACATTAAAAAAAATTAAAAGTATTATCATGATGATGTTTATGATTGATTGGGGAGGGCATGCCTCGTTAATGATGTTTTATTCAAATAACTAAATAAATGTGACATTAAAAAAAAATTTAAAGTATTATCATGATGATGAATAACCAATACAGATGTGTAATTGTCTTTTCCTCAGAAGTACCTTTGAATTGAAATAGTATGCTAGCTTTAAAAAAAAAAATGGATTTTTTTTTTTGTTTTTGTTTTTTTGTTACACCATATGTTCTCTATCCAATTGCACACTTTCATAATAAACCAGGTCTTTCTGAATGTTTACAAAATGTTTTGTGAACAATTTTGAATAAAAATAGCTTTCCATATTAAAACAAACAGATTTTATGGATACTTTGTCACAAAAGTCTGTTATACTGTATTTCTAACAAATGGCTATACACTCTTTGTAATCTCATATTGATTTATGCTACATGTACATGCCATAAGCAAAAGAAATACACACACACCCATAAATACGTTTATGATTTGCAAAGAAATATCAATAAAGTTATCTTTTATTATACATGCTTTGTACAATTATATAATTTGGTAGTACTGGAAATTGCTCGTTTCATGAAAATTACAGTACGGTCAGTACATGTTATAACATCAGTACACACATATAGGCGACCTACATGATGATGACATGATAATTATACTACATTCTAAAATTCAATGATGTGAACTGTACCTTAATTGTAGGCCTAATTCACACAGTGGAAGACATTTCAGTTTTTAATAGCAAGTATTCATGACGTATTTGCCAACTTCTTTCTGAAAATATGAGCTGCAAACATTGAAACATCCCCCCCCAAAAAAAACACAACAACAACGACAACACTTATGACGTCTACAAGAAAGGAATAGGATTCCTGGAGTACGATTCTCTATTAAAGAGAGAGAGAAAGAGAGAGACTGGACAAGGCTTTTTATGAAGACTTGATGATGAACTTGATGATTTCTTTCTTCAGATGCAGATAATTTCTGTTCTACAGGGTTGCCAGTGTTTAGGTAATAGCCTGAATAGCCTGGCGAGTTATTTTCATACCATAGTTTAGGCTTTTATGTGTACAAACTAGCTCATTCTAGGTGATTTTCAGGCCCTCTGATCAATTCTAACTGGCATCCCTGGAAGTTTGTATGAGCATGCAAGGCTGAACTGATTATATTTAAAGGGTGAGTGGTCAAAGATGAAAGATTACAGGGTCATGAGAGTAAAAATCCTAGAAAATATCTTATTAACTGTGATTATTCAACAAAACAATTGAACTAATGTGGTCCAGATTAATATTAAGAATGGAAAACCATTAAAACCATGAAACGAAAAGCATATGGGTTCTTGAAGTCTGATGTTAAAGGTCACAGGATAATTGATCAATGAATGAACCTTTAGTTAGAGGCATATTAGAGAATGATGCAGTCTTATTCATCTTGTAATTAAGCTTTTGCTCAAAAGTTACATCCATAATCTGTTTCTCTCATTATTCTGCATTATAAAAAAAAAAGATTAAATATCACAGTGGACTTCCCCCTTTAAGAACTTTACTCTTAATACCTGCATGTATAAGGGACGTTTCTTCTACATGATTAAATACTGTCTTAGCTTCCATACATTTAAATACAAAGGTACCTGCAAAATTATTATGCAGGGTGCCATTAGTTACTTTTTACACATGCTTGAATAGTGATTACCAGTAGGCAACTTGGTGTTTAGTACCCTTGGCCTAAAACTGCTGGCAATCCAAAGGGATGTACACATTTTGAACCTAGGCAATCTTAGTTCGTCTCTCCTGAGATAACAATATATTGATTTTTAGAGAGTTGCAAATAATTTCATGTAATATACAAGTTTATCAGAGATCAGTATTGCGCACATACAGTGAACATATATATATATGTTATATATTTGTGGCAATAGTATAAGTTGACTTTTTCCAAACTGTTACCGTTGACAAATAATAATAATAATAATAATACATGTACAGCACGTGACATTACATAAGCATAATTCAAAGCTTTTTCCATCAAGCATTGCACAAAGACTACTATTAAGATTTATACTCTTTAATCTTTTTACGTTCATAAGGCTTAAAATCCATAATTTAACCACAAAAATTCATTGCAAAAACCTTTTAAGGACTCTCATCTACACCTACAAGTTTGGTCATGGTCAGTATATGATTTCACTCACAAAAATACTACCAATACTACCGGTAGTTGGTATTCTAGAATTAGATGCATAGTCTTAAATGCAGCACCACAATTTCAAAATCATTTTTATCAACATCTCCAAAAAATATTGCAAAAGTAAATACTAGTTTCCAACTTACACTTTGATTGATGATTACATGAAATAAAAAAATTTTAAAATTTTTTTTAGCAGAAAACATTAATGGACCACAAAATATTTTTCTTTCTTTGATCTGTAAATTTCTTCTGAAATAGAATCAATGGTGGTTCAGAAAACATGAAACTCTTGTCTTCTTTCTTTTAATAATCAGAATTATTGTTATGATGATAATCAGATATTAGGGTTTGGCTAAGCACAGAAATTAGGTTTTACATTAGGCTAAAGTTATGAATTAGGGTTTATAGGAAACTGACCACAGAGCAATTGTCTTCAGTACGTGTCCTAGCTAGAACACCAGAATGAGTTGATTAATATAAAGCTTTAAAGGTATAGACCAGTTTTGGAAACGCCCCCATCTCAAAAAATGAAATGAAAGCTCTTATGACCAATCATGTAAAAGAATATGTTTTGACTAATACGTGATGATACAAATGTTGCCGGTAAACCGCCTACTAATTGATATATTTTGTAGATTATTATATCCATCCAGCCTGGATAGATATCCCGTAGTCCCATATATATATTTACTGATCGATTCCACAACGTTTCTTTCACAATGCAATCGCATGACCAGAACTGGTCTATACCTTTAAGGTGCCATTAAGAGGGAGGTGGGCCTGTTATCCATGCAAGATCCAGTGAACTGCTACGACTTCGTTGACGATTCGTCTGCATCTTCATCTGGTGTTCCAAAGTCATCATCTTCATCTGGGGTTCCAAAGTCATCCTCTTGGAGGCTGTCTTTGGTAGCTGCGTCCTCCGGGAGTTGTTGCTTGTCGCTGGGAGCTTCTGTGGAATCTACAAGATGTCAAGAACCGAAGGGAGAAGGTATAATTCTATTGAAATACCTCCCACACACCAGGGGGGTGTTTCACAAAGATCCTAAGTCGAACTTAACTCTAAGTTGGACTTAAAGATTATGGAGAGCCATTTGTAGCCTTAAAATCAAATATATTCAAAAGCAAAAAATCAAATTATTTAGACTTTGTTTAAATTCCACATCAAGAACATGAAATTTCTTTGGTAATAGAAAATATGAATGATTTGAATCAACATTTTATGCCTATTTGGAAAATAACTTTTCCAAATATTTTCATAGATGCCAACAGCTTTCCATAATTGTTAAGTCCAACTTAGAGATAAGTTCAACTTAAGATCTTTGTGAAACACCCCCCAGGAGTCTTACAACGTGGTTATTCAAAGTGATCCTTCATACTGAAAGATAGATCACTGGTCCATGACATAAAAATTGGAAGAGCTTAAATCATCTGGTTGGGAGCCAGGAGGAAGTTAGTAACTCTTGTCTTCAAGGGGTACCTGTCTTCACCCGATCGCATGTGTGGCAACCATGGACTTGGCAGAAAGTCAAGAGTGAAAGTTACAAACCCACTTGTAAAAAGACTTTAAAGGTCTTCCTTGTTACTTTAAATGTTGAGACCTGAAAAGCTTGCTCATCACCTGGGTCATGATATATCTGTACCAAGATGAGTTAACGCCCTTGTAGTTCCAAACAGACGAAATGAGAAACTGACAGAGACAATACATGCAATAATAACCTATTATTAGAAAATTAGACTATGTCTCGTCTGAAAATTTCATAATTTATTCCCTCCACGTTACAAGAATAGATAAATGCAAAATTGAACAACAAAAAGATTATGAATTATGCGAAACTGACAATAAGCAAACAATAAAAATGTCTCTCATTTTTAACGTGAACATTCATTGATGCATTTTTTACCTTTGGCATCCTCCTCGACATGTGCTTGATCTTGAAGTGAATCTCCTTTATCTTTGGCGTCTGCATCCTCTGGGTTTAAAGAACCACTTCCTTTACTCTCTTCTCCTTGTTGCTCTTTGTCTCCACTCTGTCCATTTTCTATCCGCCCTACCTCGTCCACTGATGCGGTGCCTTCCGTAGAGATGACTTTAGATTCATCCTCTTCCACTGATGCGGTGCCTTCCGTAGAGTTGACTTGAAATTCCTCCTCTTCTTCATCCTCATCATCATTACCCTCATTATATTTCTTATCCTCTACATCATCCTTGACCAAAGGAACTCTTTTTCTGACCGACCTCCGATCAACATCGCTGTCGTCGTCATCATCATCGGGTCCCAGGAAGTCATCTAGGGCTTGTTGGTCATCTCTACCGATGGAAAGCTCAAACTCATCGAGTCTGTTTTCTAATTCCTGGGATAATTGAGTCACTGGTGCTGTGGAAGAAGGAAAATAGCGTGATAAAGGAACAAAACTAATTCAACTGCTTCATACCAAGAGACCGATAACTCTTTGACAGGATAGTGATCCATGCACTAAAAGTAATGTTGCCAGTAGTAATACGAAGAATTAGAGATTACATCACTAGGTGTGCGCCTGTGAAGAGGGGAAGAGGGAATACTCAGGATGATGGAGTTATACAAATTTGCTTCTAGACTGACAAAGCACCCTCCCCACCCCCCCCCCTCCCCGAATTAAAAACTATTTGAAAAGAGTTGTAAGCATTTTCCTTCCCAGATGAAAAGAACATTAAGTGAGAGTATCAGAGTAGTGTACAGTCAAACCTATCTATAGCGACTGCCCAAGGGAAACATAGAAAGTGGTCTTTGTAGACAGGTTCCTTTAGTACATGTTTCAATGAGAAACCATTTTCAAGGGAAACAGACAATGTAGTCTTTGTAGACAGGTGGTCAGGTTTGACTGTATATATACTAAATTACCCATGATGGAAAGAGGATGATATTCATATTACAGCTACTATAAACATGGCTACACATACTGACAATAATGAACCACAACAACAAACATAATAAGTATGTCAAGTAGTAATACCTGACATTTTTCCATGTGTTCGGTAGTGATCCATGTCAGCAGCAAAGACTTCTTGGAAGGCTTTCTGTCTCTCTTTCTTCTTAGCATCCTCCTCGTCTTCTACTCGACGGAACTTCTGGTTGTATTCATCTAGCAGGCGTTCTGTAAATCATTAAAAAGGCAGGTTTAGAACTTAGTCACGCACATTTAGGTTACATCTAATGCCCTGCTAGCTCCAAACAAACAACATGTAACTGTAGGAACAAATACTAATTTTGATTTAAAGCTCCTTCACAAAATCTTGATAAATATTTTTTGATTTTGTTATTGGTTTAATTTGTTAACCTTTTGTTAAAGTTTATAATAATATGGAAAATGATTACCAACAAAAAATACTAATTACCACTCACTATAATAGTGAAATTTAAAAATAATGTTACAATTATATATCATTATTACATGCATGGCTATTTAACACACATTATTATCAAAGATGGCTACTGTACATCGTTTTCTTTAATACATCAATACCATATGCCTTTTCTATGATCATATACTTTTGAAATCAGAGTAAAAACTGAACCCGCTCGTCAACAAAATTTCACCACTACTTATAAGTTACTTGGAAAATCTCACCTCTTCTATGTTGCCTCTCTTTTCTGAATGGGGAATAAGAAGAGTATATATATATTAAGCCACCTTCATACACAAACATGGGAATTGCACAAACTAAAATTTCAAGTTCATAACCTGGAGTAGTAAAGCATTCTAAAGGAGCCTTTTACCATGCACAGTAAATTTCACACTGAGATAAAAACATCTTACTTTACATACCTCTCTGAATAGACCTTTTTGACAAGAGACAATAAATGTTGACAAATTTCATTTAGAGTTTTGTGATTTCATCTGTTTGGTATATGGAATGCCCATATACAAATGTAGTTACAAAACAGAAGCCACTTAGTGTTATATAAATACAACCCAAGAAGAGGGTCGGAGTTCAAGACTTTCCCATGGACTGATAAATGGGTGATGTGGATCAATAATTTATCTTTTTACAAGAGGGCATGCGGAACATGCAAACATTCTTCCTGTAAACAGTTTTCATTTTAGCCACAAAATTCATCCTAGAAAAAGTACACCATGATTTTGGTCAACTCAATACAAATCTCATCACATAAATGTTTCCCTTCTAGAATTATCATAATACTCATACAGTCTGATTAACATTCTTTTGCTACATGGACATAACACTTTGGGCAGCTGTTCAAGCCAACAACATTTTTCAACAGAATATTCTTGCATGACTTACGATTTTTGCTCCTTGTATTTCATTAACTCTGCCAGCTGTATCTTCTTGTTGCCTAGCAACTCCTCCTCCTCACAGGTGTCACCAAGACTCTCTAGCATACTCTCAATCTCCTCAAAGTTGGCTTCCAGCTTACCTGAGTTTGAAGTTTATTATCCGAACAAAGAGTACATCAATATAACAATCATGAGTATTTGTACTGTGACATGTAAAATCCGAGCATGGCACTTATGTCCTTATGTTATCAGTGTCTGTGATATGGTGTAATATTAAAGCCCTAAAAAAATTGCACTTCAAAATGATCATGAAGTGCCTCAAAAAAATAAAAATCTTTGAGTGACCGGTTTTACCATACTCAATTCCCCCAATAGACTACAGTGTTATAAAAAACGTTAGCAAAACAAATTTTTAAATTTCGATTTCCAATCATGGATATCTTGATAATCAGACAGGCTTGTAAAAGTCATGGGGTTCCTGACTGGCCTAAAGGTTTATAATTATCATTGCAGCATGAGCTAAATCCAGGATTTTGTTTCAGAATCTGAGACAAAGTTACCCAATCCCTTTAAGCAAGGCATTTCACCTACATTGCTTCTCCCCACCCAGGTGTTAAATGGGTACCCGGTAGCAAGCAAAAGTCATTGTAGTTTGCTCAGTATCATGAGAATCTGAAAAATGGTGCCTGGCCAGAATGATACCTAGGGAGTGGAGAATGTGCGTGCATTGTGAGCTGGCAAGCCTCTATCCGATAACCAGGGTAAAGATATGTGTGTAAAGCACTTAGAGACAACTGTTGATGCACTAAGCACTAAACCATCCCAAAATATAATGATTATTGATGTTATCATTTTTATTGAATACAGTGTTCACTACATGTCTATACATCACATTATGAAGTGAGATAAATTAAAGGGCACCAATCACCCAAAACAAACAAATATTATTTAGCTCTCTGTGATGGAGGTTCCATGTCTCCATATATTACTACAAATATGAGCTTAAAACAATATTCAATATCTATAGAGATTGTTGCCAGAACATATGTCGTAGGACTGAGAACCTCATCATACAGTGTATGACTTACCTAGAGTGACTGCCAGGTTCTGTATCTGGGTCACCATGCCGGGTACTTCTTGTAGTCTGGTCTGTAGCTGCTTCCAAACATGGATCTGTTTGTCATGCTGCTCTACCAACTCGAGGATAGCCTTGTCACTTTTCTATGAGCATAAAATAATAGAGAATTAGTAAGGGGTCTTAGTAACATTGTTCAAATGAGAGAAATGGTGCTAAGGGAGTGACTTTGATGCTAGATGTACAATTAATGATAATCTGAAAACTTGAGTGGAAACAGACCATTATTAATGATAAAAACTGGGAAAACTGATCCGATTGCTTCCTAAATTCTCCCAACTATGTTATTATCATTTGATTTAATTCTAGGTGAACGTAAATCGCTGTATACCATTCCAAACATTTAAATGTTAACAGATTTTAAAAAAAAATTATGCAGAGAAGTTGTGGCAGCAGCAAGTATTCTCAGGTAAGGGATTGAAAGAAACCGGCTAATCACTTCACTAAGGTGGAGAGTGGCAAATGCAAATGAATAATTTGCAAAGGATTGTTAGTGCTGTAGCTGGGTTTCAAACACATACAATGTGCACAGGGAAGCTCACGCCTTCAAAAACTGTTATAGAATACTTTTTACATTTACACTTGAAAGCCATCACAATAAACACTCATATAGGGCTGTGTTTATTATAAAGCTAGCAAAGGCCTAGCAAATTTTAACAAATAATATCAATAACTTGCTGGAGTCATTATCAAAGCATTTGCTTGATATTTTTTTCAAGATCCTCTTATGGTAGATTATTCAACTGTTTTAAGAGATATCTGAATACAACTCTATTCTGTGTTATATATTTGCAGTAATGATGAATATGTTTTGTACAGTACAGCCTTTCATCAGTTGTGAATATAAAGGAAATCTATAAAGGAAATAATTTGTTATCATGAACTGTGAGGTTGATATTTACTAGACTCATATTTATGACTGAAAATCAACTGTTTTACCTTACCATAGCTTTGTCTGCAGAAAATTCAATGTTGGTATGAATTTGAGTCCACATCAGTTGAAACCTTCAAAAGTAGATTGCATAATAACAATTTGATCAAACTTGCCACACCAGAACCTCTTAAAATGTTTTTACTCTTTGTATGTAAATTCTATAATCTTCTGGCACTAATCCATATTTTCTCTGTTCTATTTCTTTTAAAACTGTTATTCCTTTCAATTTCAAGAAGAACCAGTCATAGGAAAAGTCATGGTCCTTGTGAGAAAAATATTTCAGCAAAACTCACAAAGTTGTTATTTTCTTATCCTATCCCGGCTTAAAAACATGCAACATAACAATAAACTACCCCTTATCTGACAACTTTAAATAAGTGAGAAGCAAAAAGACATTTATATTTGTTTTCCATGACAACCAAATAATAATCTGAAACTATTTGATACCAATATATCAATCTTTATTTTTTCAAGAGCAGGTAATGATGAATATTTTGAAGGGAATAGATCATGTTTTAATAAAAAGTATAAGTATTTTTTCCCCATAATTTACCTGTTGAGGATTTCATCTCCAGCATCTATACATTCTGGTTTCAACGCCGAAAGACTGAAAAATAAAGATAAGAATAAAAGCAGCTAAATAATTAGGACTTGGAAGGGTCCCACCGGGGTTATTCCACTGGCCACAATCTGTGCCAACTATCACTTTGTCAGACCACTGGTATTATAATAATAATAATAATAATAAGATATTTGTATACCGCACATTAAAGCAAGGGGCCGGTATTAAATTAACTTCTAAGACATTTTTCTCAAATCTAAGAATTTGTCTAGTTCAAGAAAGTTGCATTAGCCATATTATAAACATGGTGAGCACTTTGTCTTAGCTTAGATCGGACATATAAGACAAAGCTCTTAGACCCGATGACGTAATGTTGGAAAGCAAAATTGGTCAAGTCGAGCGACTCAACTGCAGCTCAATTTGCGTATAAAAATTAAAAAATCTTAAATATAGGGTAGAATTCTTATGTATCTGAGATATTTCGATTGTAATAGAATACAACAAGCTATTTCAGCCCTTTCTCTTAGATAAAATCTAAGAATATCTTACTCTTAGGGCACAATTCTTAGCCCCAATGCTTTAATAGAATACACATTTTTGCAAACACTTTACTCTTAGCAAAAAGATCAGAAAAAGTTCTTAAATTTCATGATTAAGAAGTTTATTGAATATTGGCCATAGGAAACTGTCTGGTAATCAAGGCTAGCATCTTGCTACTTAAAATACGCAGCATCTAGTCATGGCTTGTTATGTTTTCCACATGTTTGTTTTTCTCTGTGTTCATGAGTGCAAGAAGATAATCCTCTGTATTACCGGTACTGATTTAAAGTTATCGAAAAATTTCCAGATCTGTTCATCTCTTGAAATACAAAATGGTGCTTTCTACAGATAGGCAGAATATCCAAGGACCTAAACAATGAGAAAGGACATGACCTCTATCAACTACAGACAAGTAAATTTTCCTATCCCTGAATTGAACAAAAATAAATTCACAGAAGAAAACGATGAGAAATGACAAAAAAAACAAAAGTCATATCAAAACACTCTTCCATTAAAATGCTATACAAATTAGATAGGAACTTACTCAGCTGTTTTGCTGTCAAGAACATGCAATTCACCAGGGAGTCTACAAATGTTAAAACAAGAAAAAAAATGATCATGAGCAATTGACTATCACATGAAATATGAATATTATTTTGAATCTCATTCTACTGTACATTAAAAATAGGATTCATAGACCCAAATAAACTTTCTGTCATAATCAATTTACATAACAAAAACTGAAAGGCATGTTCAACAAATATGAAATGCCATCATATTCAGCTATTTTAAGTAGTGTATTCCTTTTGCAGCCAACATCAAATTCTGTAGAACTTTGCAGGAATCATGAGTAGGTCACATATGTTCTATCTGTGAAATTTAAACTTTTAACGGTTAGCAGTAATACCTAGTTACGCAAGGGAAACATTTACTCTCTACTCTTTAGACCTCACTGTTAGACACTATTGTGACTAACAGACTTTTTACAAATTTGTTAATAACAAAGATAAATTAGCTGTAAAAGAGACGTTAACATTTGTACACATTAATGACCCCCTTCTTATAATGACCAAAATTAAACTTATTGAGTCTTTACTCAGCACAAAAGGTACGACTATGCAGTATAAGGGTCTGAAAATCAGACTACCCTAGTAGTACAAGAAACACATAGCAAAATCTTGTAAAGACAATATAGGAATGTTTCTGATTCATACTGAATTACAACAGAGTCGATATTATAGTAACAATTCATTAAGATCAACAGATTTGCCAAATCAAATAAAAATGAAGAACATTATAATATACATCAACCTACACAAATATAATAAGGCTCATTCAGTTATCATGTGGCAAAACCAGGCGATTTTAAAATACAAATGATGATGTGATGTTACAAGATAACACAGAGCTCAGTGAATATGCGCAAGTCCTTCTTTGCATTCAGATGCCATTCATTAATACACATCTAAAAAACGTGGCAGCTGTTTTGTGGAGGTTTACCGCGACACATCTGAATGAGCCTTGACTGAGCAGGAAAATCACTTACTTCTTTGATCGTCCAACCTCTCGAGCCTTCTCACTGAGCGACTTCAACCTGTAAAGAAAAAACAAAAACATTTAACTGCATTATTCCATTATCAAATCACTGAAGAAAAGTTTGTTCTCATACATAAAGTGACAGAAATTTCATTAAAAAAAAAAAGTTTTGGAGAACCTATAACATCATTTATTTGGAGTAGGCGGCAGGCCTACTGTGAGTACTGTCCAATAGAAAATGGGATCAGGCTAAAGATGGAATCACGGAAATGATAGTGTACAACAATTTGAGAGAGATGTCCCCCCTGAAAATTACAATTGATTTATTTTCATATGTACAGTGATTATATCACACAAATGTTTCCAAGTACTTGTCAGATTGTACATGTATTTAAATTACATCGATTTGTTGACCTGAGTTTTCTATTCTCATTCAATTCAACAATTATAACAATTATAATAACAATAATGGCCCACTGCACTACTTGTAGCTACTTGCGCCCTCTATAAAACAAACAATGCCTAATCGGTGACCATTGGTCCCCTATGATCCTCTTTTTCTTAAGTTAACTGAGAGCTGAGTTGATGAGATAACCACCTGTCCAGTGACCTTGCAGGGCAGTCTAATCCCTCCTGTAAACTACGGCAGATAAGCTTTAAAGTAGTAAGTTTTCAACATTTCTACATAAATAACTTCCGTCAAGTCCTTCCATAATTATATAAATGAGTCATCCGAATAAGTTCATTTTATCATCTACATGTACCGTATCTGCAATCAAGTTGATGCAGCATGCATCTATTGCACAAAATTATCAGTGTTGAACCAATCACTTAATTAAGATTTAGGAGTCGGACGTTTTATCAGACACATGTATGAATAAGAGAAACATATCAGTGTCGCCAATATGAAGAAGTAGAAGCTGATCAAATCAGCCCTCAAATAATCCTTGTCCTGTCAGGCGGGTGTTTCACAAAGATCTTAAGTTGAATTTATCTCTAAGTTGGACTTTAAAAGGCATAAAATGTTGATTCAAATCATTCATATTTTCTATTATCAAGGAGATTTCCTGTACTTGATATGGAATTCATGAAAACTCTAAAATACTTAAACTTTTGCTCTTGAATATATTTTATTTTAAAGCAACAAATGGCTCTCCATAATATTTAAGTACAACTTAGAGTCAAGTTTGAATTTAGAATCTTTGTGAAACACCCCCCTGATCAAAGTAATGTACTTACCCAGCATTCAAGTCAAGCTGGACAGAATGTATCTTCTCCTTGAATTGATCAAACATTTTGCTTTCAATATATGTATATCTACTTTAGGCACATCGTCAATAGGCACAAGCAACTTTTGAGCACAGGGTACCTATAGAAATGAGAGGAAAGATGAGGACCTTAAAAACAATTAGAGCAGATCTAAAACAATAGTTAGACTACAATTTCAAAACACCAATATTTTGTTTTATGAAGAGACATTTACGGATTATAGATAGATATGCCTAGAATTCTGCCTTTGACTGACATAAGGGTCTGCGGCTAGAGTTCCATATATGTAACCCCCACTAAAATTGAAAAAATATATCGATATGTTTCAGACTATAAAACAGGGTTAGACAATGAGAGATATAAAGAAAGTGTAATAATATTTAGCGGGGGGGGGGGGGGGGGGGGTCCATGTGGAACTCTTTCTAGCTCTTCTTCTTCCTGAAAATGAAAAGTGCAGGCTTCCACACATAGACTATAGCTGCATTACTATCCTGGCTGTGTATTAAAAACTGTTAATGCTTTGCCTTTAGCTTTGCTGGATCAGTGCGCAGGCTTCATGAAATGATGATTGACGCACTGTGGCTCTAACTTTTAATGCTAATGAATAGGTCTAGACTAGTTAGAAAACTAGCTAAATTCAACTGACTCTGATTGAGTGTCTGCCTTATACAATGACTGAACTAGTAACAACTTTCTGATTTGTATTTCGTTTTGTACATGATGAACACATCCCAACTGATATTCTTACACGAAACAAATGGGGTGGGACTGTATTGTTCCATATTCTGCCAGAGACCTGATCGAGTCTGCTATTTGCGCAGTTTTTACGCAAATGTAAATAACATATTAATTCAATAGCAACAAGGCCAAGGCACTATCTCTTTAGTTGAATAAAATAAGAGTGGTTTACCGGTAAAACAAGGCAACGTCTTGCAAATATCTCTCTTGCTCGTCTAGCTGCCACTACGGTACCGGGTACATAGCGCGCGTAGCTAGATAGCTAGCTATGTAAAAGAAGAAGATGATCAATCATGTTTACGTGCAATATCGGCCTCTGGTCCGAGGACATCGATCCATTCATCACCTACGTGCTTCCTTTCTTCTGGAGTTGCATATACACAAAGCGACAATACTTCTCTCATTACTTTTTATAGTTTATACATGTACTTTCTATTTCTCCTCGATATCCTTCTTTTCTTTCCTCTTCTATTTTACTCCTACCTTTCTTTTCTCTTTTGATTACTCTAAAACTCTTTAAATTGCAGTTCATTATTTGTTAATTCCATCTCAATATTTACATGAATTGAAAAGAAAAACGTTTTTTAATCTCTTTCTTTTCTTTTTCTTTTTCTTTTTCCGGCATTCATATGTCTCGATCCATCTCCTCTGTATTCATGCACCGTCTTCTTGATTTTATCTTTGCCGAATAAATAAGTTGTGCACTGATATTATCATATATTATTATTATAATACTGATGATGATATTAAGATATTATTATATGATATTATGGTGATATTATAACCTGCCTTTTCGGTAAGGGTCACCTTTCTTTTCTCTTTTGATTACTCTAAAACTCTTTAAATTGCAGTTCATTATTTGTTAATTCCATCTCAATATTTACATGAATTGAAAAGAAAAACGTTTTTTAATCTCTTTCTTTTCTTTTTCTTTTTCTTTTTCCGGCATTCATATGTCTCGATCCATCTCCTCTGTATTCATGCACCGTCTTCTTGATTTTATCTTTGCCGAATAAATAAGTTGTGCACTGATATTATCATATATTATTATTATAATACTGATGATGATATTAAGATATTATTATATGATATTATGGTGATATTATAACTAGTTCCTCCAAATCGCCAACTTTATGCTCCACTTCAATACCAAATTGTTACCTGCTTCATTATCTTCAATGTTCCATATCCCATCATATTCAACAAGGAAGTCATCAAATTTACATGTGGTCAATCCGCACACTACATTAGCCCAAAAATCAATCAGACATATAGCAAGGCCGGGGTCCAGATGTATGGAATTTTCTTATTCGAAATTTAAAATCACCAAACTCCTAAAAGAGCACTCAAATGAATTATCATTTCAAATGATGCAAAATATCAGTTCTCATTAAATTAAACATAAATGTAATTCTCTTATGATCTACTATGACTATTATGATTTTACTAGACTTAACAATATACTTCTTTTTTTCTTGTTCTTTGTAAATAGTTCATGCACAACCCTTTAGGAATTTTATTTGTCATATATTATATATTTGAAAGGTGTTGTAACAATATCATCACCTTTAATTTGTGTGTTCATTCTTTAAACTGTATAATAGTTGCAACTTGTCTTTGATTAAACATTGTTATATTCTTTTTCATGTGAAGTCGATTCAAATCATGGATTGTAAAATTGAAAATGATTTGTAATATTACATTCTTGTTCATGTGTTGTTAAATCCAATGAATTGTGAAATTGTGAACATGCATGCATAAATAATAGAATAATAGTAATGATAATGATAATAGCAATAATAATAACATGATATTGATAATAATAATAATAAATAATATAAGTCCCTTTATAGTGTAGGATATATAATTATGCATTATTATTTTTTTCTTTTTCAATATTAGTAGACTGTCCCTTATCCCTGAACGTGACATTATTTTTGGTGATGAATACACTAAAAAATCAGAAAAACAATAAATTGATTTTAATCTTAATGTTTCGTAATTTTTTTTTTAGATTTTCTTTTTTGCACCTGCCTGCACATAATTTTTTTAAACAACATCTTAAATTAAACAATCGTCAATTCATCATAGCTTGAACATATTACAGTACATGTTACTTTTTCATAAATTTTGTCTCTTGTTTTTAAAACCTATATTGAAATACCATGAACAATTGAACGCTACAGAAAGTTTTACAAGGTATGAATAATAACATTTTCATTTATTCATTGCAAAATTCAAGGTTGACATAAAAAAAAACACAGTACATTGATAACAACACCAATTCATTTTTCCTTCTTAATGCAACATGTAAATTGAGAATATCATATTTGAGATTTGTTCTGGTTGATATCAACTCAATATAATTTTTAATACCTACTCTTTTCAAAAAATTAATCAAAATGCTCTTCATATTTGATTTTCTTCTGCATTCATATAAGTACACAGTTTTTCAATAACAATATAGTAATACAAAATACATTAAGTATTTTTCTGACAATGAATCATGAATAAGCAAATATATATAACAATTGTCATTTTCAAAAACAAAATGATACACTGTCATGAATACTAAATTTCATCCAACATAACATTATTTGCAGAAGAAGGACTGTCATTGTAAGCAGATTGCTTGAAAATAAGACAGCCCCAGACAAGACTCATGAAATAGATTAACACATTTATTAAGCAGAATGGATAAGTAATTGAAAATACAAATTATAAAGATGATGATATTGACGATGCAGATGATGTGGAGGATGATGATTCGAATGAAGGAAGAGATGACATTTTAAAGATTGGAGAGTTTACACAGCAATGTTACCTTGAATATTCTGATAATAACATCGTTTTAACTTTGGCCTTAAGTGAGTAGAGGGAGCAACATGATTAAATAGAATCTGGGAGAGAGTTCCTTAGGTCTGGACCATGGTGTCTTATGGATTTATGAGCAATAAGTATTTTGGAGTTGACTAGATACAAATTTGAGGATTTACAGGTAGGGCAAGAGTGAATGGCTTTATTTATAGTGTAAACTTATACTGTAAACGAGGACTTGGATCGTGTGAAAAAGCTTTTTCGTTCTCAATCTAAAATAGATATAAGCCTAATAAAGATTTCCATGACAGCAAAACATCTTATATACCAAATCTGTTTACTCTAATACAAACTATCATACAGGTTCATGAAAAAAAATCACATTTAAAGTCCTCCAATTGATGTCAAATTTTTTATATAAGACTTAAAATCGAATAACAGGAATTAACTAAGTTCTGAAGAATTTGTACCAAATCTAAGGCAGTACGTGCCTGTATCAACCAAGGGCTAAAAACACATACATTTACAAACATCCTCTTAACAAAAATATTTGGAGACTAATCAGTGATTTGGCAAACAATATCTAGAAATTATAAGACCCAACCCATTGGAAAATCACATTAAAAAAAAAAAAATTGAACTAAATATGAGCTATAAATGTATTAATCACAATGGATTTCAATGTATACAAGACAACATTTGTGCTATTAGAGTAAAGACAAAAGCCATTTGAATATGTTAATGAAAGGATACTCAGTATACTGCGATTTCATTTGGTGAGGGGTGTGCGGGTGCAGCCTCCAAACCATACCCATTTGCATGTGTCATTTTGGCATCCTTTATTAGGATTTCGGGTGAGAAAGCCAAAATGATTTCAAATATTTGGGATTTTCAATCTGGGATTTGTACTATGTCTCTGGCAATTATACGGGTGTATGAGGTATCATTCTAAAAGAAATTAACCCACCTTAAAGGCCATGATATTAAAATGGGGCAATTTTTGGCTTAATATAAGCTTTCCGTTGAGTTATAATTCATCTATTTCATTTTTCACTTCCGACAGTGTCTTCAACTATGGAAAACTTAAATGCTCAGCAGAAATACTGACTTTGTTATTCAATAACAAAATTGAATATATGATCTATTAAAATGGGTCAACATCAACTAGCCTTTGCTATTTGTTAACTTCTTTTGTACATACTCTACTGTCTAAATTGCTACAATTCTACAAAACTTTGTGAACTCTGATGACAAATGAACACCCTACAACACGAATAACCAATGCTACACAATATATGCCATAGCCTATTAGGACACAAATCAAGAAATCCACCCCGGTAAGCTTATGGCCACCTATCACTGGCTGGGCATGGTTTGGGGGTACCAAGATGGAGGATCCAAAGAAGCTGGCCAGGTGATTGCAGAGGCAGTGGGTTGTGGAGGGCTTCGAAAGAGGACCAACCTGTGCAAAATGGAGTTGAAAATAAGGTGGCATTAATGACAACTAATACAAGGTCATCAGCATGTAGGGGTGGGACCAGGGTGACTGTCATGTATAGTTACCATCAATCCCAATATACATTTGCTTATTTCTTATGTGTAGATGTGGCTATAATTTCTACAAATCTCAACTTGACCTCTTATATTTATTGAATCAATCACAACTCCTTACTATATTTGGGGTATACAGATCAAGAAATATGATTACTATGTAAACTGCTTTGCATTTTATCAAGGAATTCATATTACATTTGAAGCATGCAAAACATGAAATACAACAGCATTCAAAATTCATGTTGTACACAGCAATCAATATCAGATTACTATCTTTAGAAATTGTTTCTTCAAAAAGAAATTCTTCAAAACTCATAAAGAATGTATTCCATATTAAAGGTCATGGCAAAGACTTGAATTCAAACTGAGAAAACTAATATCAGGCATATATTTGAAAGCAGGGTAGCTTAAACCTTATTGCTAGATTTTCAAGGAATAAGTTACAACTTAAATGTGCATTAAAGATCGACGATGGCCCTGTAGTCCCATACCTTGCATCCTGTGCTGTCCCATTCTTGCTGGTCTTCATTCCAAAAATTGCACTGTAATGTATGCATGAAAACAGACAGGGTGATGTTGTCATTTTCATAGCCAGGCTGATCTTCACTATCGTATAGTCTAATCATGATCCCATCTGCAGCTGCATAAAATAAATAATATGAACACAAACAATTAGACATTAAATGCTTATAATGAATCAGGAGCTAGTGAAAAGAAACTGAAATAAAACTTGTTGAATATGGATAATAATCAGGTCATAATATCTATGTGCCATGCATATATGTTTATATTCCTCTAAGATATTAAAACAATGATTTTTAAAATAATTAGCTGTCTTTTTTTTCTTCCTGTAAATATTCCTTTTCATAGAAAACAATTTGAATGCAACTGCATCTCTCTATATATCCAACATAATATTTTTTTTAGGTTGCATTTTGTCGCTATAATTGTATTATTGTAGCTAGTGACCTAGGATAAATTTGCATTGAATCGCAAATTGTCTATTCCAAACACCATAGTAAAACAAATATTGAATAGAATACAAAATCCCGGTTTTTAAAGGCCCTCTGCACTAGTTTTGCTGGGAGGGATTAGACCTCCATGCATGGTCACTGACAGGTGGTTATCCCATAAATCAGCTCTCAATTAACATAAGAAAAAGGTGACCATCACCAATTAGGCAATATTTGCTATATAGAGGGCGCAAATAGCTATAAGTAGTGCAGTGGGGCTTTAAAGAAATTGTTCAGTAAAATAAATGACCATAAATCAGGTATTCCGAAGACTAACCTTTCAAGTCAACCAGAGGGACAGTCCATGTGAAATTAGCATCAGTGTCCGGGTCCTCATTGCTGACACCCAGCAGGGTATCACTTCCTACACAGCTAGACTCAGTAATGCTGATTCTGGCTGTGCATATAGACAGGGCAACCATGGGCTCATTCTCAGCTATGACTGTAAGATGCAAAGCTCCATCCACAGGCAAGGATGAATGGTCGATAAGGACGGAATCGGAGGAAGTCTTGGTGATATGGACCGAGACAGGATCTGCTGACAGAGTTTCTCTCATTGGTAGGTACACATCGATGTCAGCAGTCAAATCATGGACTGTAATAATTGGAATGAGAAAAGCTTTATACAGTCAAACCTGCTTTAGTGACCACCTGTATAGAAAGACCACCTGTCTACAAAGACCACATTTGTTTGTTTACCTTGAAAATGGTTTCTTATTGAAACATGTACTAAAGGAACCTGTACATAAAGACCACCTGCCTGTAAAGATCCCCTTTCTTGTCTCCCTAATTGGGTGGTCTTTGTAGACAGGTTTCACTGTATTTATATCTAATGATAATGTTGGCTTCTAGTACAGCGCTCATGCCTATTACACTTTAACGGTCATGGTGCTCTAACAGTATTACCCCAGTCATACCTGAACAGCCTGAAAATGTGTAGAGCTCTAAGCAAAGTGGGTAACAATGTCAGGCTGGCATTTGAACCCACAACCCTTTGATTGAGAGTCATGTGAATAAACCACCTTACCATAGCACGTACCTCCACAGTGATTTAAAAGTAAAGTTCAACATATACATAAATATTGTCTGTTTGGAGCAAGAAGGGCATTCAATCTGTTAAAGCCTACAAGTGAACAACCTTCTGGCTCCAAACAAATGATATCATGCAAAATCAATTTGATATCTTATGTGAGCAAAGAGAACTCTTCAGAAAGTAACTGTAGTATATTTGATTCAAACTGTTATGGATGATCTTACACTCTAGCATTTGATCCGCTTCCAGTTGGATTCCTACGATGCTAGACTTGATAGATTCTCCACCAGCTCCCGGCCAACTAAATGGGTTCCATTTCATTGCTGACATCTGAAATGAAATAAAGCAACCCATGGAATATCACAACTATAAGTCAAGAGTCCAATAATGTATACTATGGAACATATAGATTTAGTGACATTTGAATATGAGATATTTGGCAAGCTCCAATGCCGACTACTACAAAAAAATGAAGAAAAAAAAAATCGATAACAAAATTTGACTTCATACATCAAATTCAAAAACTTAAATGCTACATTCTAAAATTTTGCTTTTAAACTGGGGAGTGATATGCCATAATGCAACCGTTAATTCTTAATATAATTCTCATTTAGAATGACAAAAGGGAGGAGAGATAGTCTGCCAAACTGTACAGACTACAACATGGAGTATATTCAGATCTAATGAAGATATAGCACTGTCCTTAAATGCACAAAAAACAAACTGGTATTATATGATCCTACATATAGTTCATTACACATTGTTCAATCAATCCAAGTATTTGTATATGTTTGTGCCCTCTTTATTTATAGCAATGAGTATGCATTCATTCTTAAATACAGGTGCTCACTAAAGCAACAATGGTTTGATTAATTATCATGTAAAAGCAGAATATATTGATGGGGTAGACAAAAACTGACATCCTAAAGTCACATTTTTATTTCTTTTAACATTATCCGAATATACACTGTTGCCCATCAATTTGGAATGACTTATTTTAAAATCTATTTCATTAAAAGATTGTAACAATATGATTTATTCTTCATAGATTAAATTTTTTCAGAATCCGAGGAGTCATAGAGATCAATCAGTTAAGTTCTCAGAAGATATAAACTTTATCTATTATTAAAGAATAAACCATATTGTCACAATCATTCCATAAAAAAAGAGGCAAGTATACATATAAAAGTTGCAACCGGACAGTTACCTTCATGCTAACAGTTGTCCCAAGAGCATGTTCCATTGCTTGATTCAGTACATCTTGAGAAGGCATTCTAAAGCTACCAAGATCCTCAGGACCTCCAAAGGTAGCCTCTGCAAGCTCGTCTCTGCTGATACTGCCTACTGCTATGCTGAGGGCAGGAGATGTAATGATGGTCGCTGCTTCACTGGGAATCTTGCCGGCTACTATCGCATCTTGTATGTCATTGATTGTGGACACAGCAACTTCAATCAAGTTCTTCAAGGGGAGCAGTGATTTATGGTATGATATGATATATGATTGCATACATATATTTGCCAATTACAAGATAAAATAAATAATACTACTTACAATATTGAAAACATTGTGAAAACGTTATGACGAGAATAAAACCTACACCCTAAATTTAATAGCCAGTTCTGTAGAATAAAGGCTGTATAAAGCTTTGGCACCATTTTTATACAGGGGAGGGGATATGCTTCCCCAAGCCAGAGCAAGAAATTTCAATACGGTGGCTTCAATTTTTTTGAGCAATCTTACTATGAGGTGCACAAAAGCACCTATAACACCTTTAACAGTTTCTTTTTCAGTTTAGTTTTATTTCATATTTCACATTCCCATTCACTACATAAATCAAAAGCAATAAACAATAAGAATGAAAAGAATTGTTCTTTCAATAGGTTTTTAAAAAAATGTCAAGCAATGAAAGTAAAAAAAAAAATACACTTGAATTAACATATGGAGATATAAATAAAATTGCATGGTATTTAGACTAAAATTAGACAAATATATTTGTGATGAAATATAGGGGAATCTAGTAAACAGCTAAGCTTGTACAATGTAGATTCCCTTTTATATATAAGAACAGTCTATTGAGCATGAGATTATGTTAAAAATAATCAAAATTAAAGGGGGAAAAAGAAGGGAAAAAAAACCACACACACAAGAGAGGCGAAAATAAGATGAAGGAAAAAAAAGAGCATTATATATCAGGGAGCAATGGGATGAATTAAGTAAGTGTTTAAGAGGAACTTGCGTTTAAAGGTATACAGCGAGCTGGTATATATTACAGTGGAATAGCCTTTGCCATTTCTGGCATAGAAAAGCATTGCTCCACTAACAAGGGTTTTTATGAAATCTGTAATGTTATTCAGAAGAAACAACAGAGAAATATATTTTTTTTAAAGAGAAAAAAAGTAGACAAATATCTTATCAGATTTTACCTTGTGATCTTCTCTCTCTTGAGAAGTGTCGTCTGAAAGAAGTCTTTCTGTTTCCTTGGCAGCACTTAAGATATTTGACAACCCCTCCACCAAAATGGTACCTGCTGACTCAATATTCTCCTGAGCTTGAGTATAAGACCCAGATTTTGATTTGACGAATGATGTCATTTCTGATAGTGTATTTGCAGCTAGCATCTGGTTTAGGGGAGAAAATAAATATGTTCAACATTTTCATATAAAATACCTTTAATAAAATATAATAACATATCTATATATATATATATATATATATATATATATATATATATATATAAATAAATACTCTCCCAACATCAATTAATATCAATTATTATCTGTATCAGACATCAGACTGGTCTAATAAGGGACTGTGTTAAAAACTGTTAGATGTAAGCTTTATTATATCAATTCTCAAGAAACATAAATTGGGGCAAATCTTTTTTTTCTTCTCTTACTTACTAAATTACAAAACCTGGTAAGGGAACGTATTAATAACTTAGTAGTCAACTGTACATGAACAGTCAGAAAGTAAATCATTGTATCATTTTAATTTGCCCACCTGTGTGTGAGTAGAAATCTCTTGCTTGTTGTGAGTTACGACAGCTAGGGCAGCCGAGCTCTGCTTCAGGGATGTCATAGACTCTACCGGTATGGCGGCCACACAGTCAACAAGAAAAGAGCGTATCTTGAAAGAAAAATAAGAAAGCTAAGCTTCATCAGAGGTGAAGATCAACCCTCTTTCTCCACTTGATATTGGAGCAGAGAGTCAACCATAGCTAAAGTACCCCAAACTATACATGTATGTAAGTGGGTCTATGTCAGTCACTAAAGCCAAGTGTCTGATAAATTTTAGACTATCCAAGTCAATTATATAATAACATCTTATAGTTAAAAAAAAAAAAAAAACATGTTTCACTTTATACTTTATCTAGTATTTCAAATCAAATTCATCATCTGATTAGAGTACCTACACTTATGTGATTCATATAGAAAATGTTTTGATAGATGCAATCCCCCAAAGATGATGGGCAAACAAAAGAAAGAGTAATGGCAAAGAGGCCATCATGCCCCTCCCTGTAGTCTTCCTAATTACCAGTGCTGTGAGTTAGCGGGTAATTTCCTCTCCGTGCACAAGGCCAGTTTATCCATACGTGTACACAGGAATGAGTTTACCAAAAAACATAATCAATACTTGCCACGTAAGCCACGTATTTCGATCACGAGAACGGGACGTACGTATATATACGGACGGCGGGACAACCCGAAAACATAATGCCTCCGGCTACTTCGCTGCGGAGGCATAAAAAGAAGAGATATTATCTTGGTTCCATACCTCTGACCTGGTTTCCCTCCCTTCCTCAGAATCATCCTCATCTCCAATGGAATTAAGAATGGACCCAAGAGCACTGATGAGTTGTGCAGCTTGTCCTGGATCTCCTACTGCTAACAATGCATTCACATTGGTTTCAACTAGCAATGCCATATCCAGTAACTCCTGTACAAGGTTCATCCCTACAGCATCCAGAGTTGGAGGGTGAACCTGGAATTTTTAAGAAGAGAAATCATCATAGGCTTCATTCGGTCATGATGTGGTAAAACCGAGTACAGAAAAATGAAAATTGTATGTGTAAATAAATGAAGTAAAAAAAGGAAAGGGGATGTGAAAAAAAACTAGCTGCACGCTTTAAACAGTTCATCACACATATTTTCAAAATGTCATCAATTTTTATACTTGTATGAGCACTCACACTGTGCTAAAAATCATCCCATTGTTTATTCATATTAATTAGAAAACTAAACATTTGCTCTGCATGCACAGACGACATCCAAATGTCATCAAATAGTCCAGAGATTAACTTGACTTTCAGGCGCACTCATCAGTACACCTTTCTAAAGGGCCACACTAGATTTGTCCATGGACTAAAAATAAAGCAGTATTTAATTGTAAGTGCATGGGATCTTACCGGTTTTTATTAAGTCTGTTTTTAGAAATAAAACTCAATAATCTTAACTGAAATCTTCTCGTCCGCAAACTTAAGTATTGAGATTTGTCTGTTTACAGCAATTAATAAAAATAGAGCTGTCAGTAGCTCCATTTATATCAATACTAGAATAGAAAAGATGAATGTTGCCATATACTCACTGTAGCACTTATGTAGACTGATGTACTGGCCATGTTACAATCTCTCACATTAACTTGGAGTAAAATATCATGATCATCAGTACCAACTCCAACTGGGAGATACAGACCATCTTTGATCGGCGCACTGCCTTCATATAGTTGAAACCCTGCATATAAATTAAACAAACAATCCGTGAAGAAGAAGAGAAAATACACAACTAAGCCAAAGATGAAATTTGCGTTTCTCTCATTCATAAATATAAAAGAAAACATCATGTAAAATACTCTTTAGGTGTACTGGAATTAAAAAAAACTTATGTCAGATATTCACAGTATTTTATATCACATGGAAAGGAAGATAAGAACTTTGTAGTTTCCGTTAATCTGTGACTAAAGCTATCAACAATTCTATCAAACATTTTCCTACTTGACATTTTCTTGAGCTATTAATTGTTTGAAGTCAATCAACTGGAAATGGGTTAAGCTGGAAATAATGTTCCCATTTCTAGACAAATCACTCATGCCTTTACAATCACATTGTCGACTCAGCTTTTGTTTTCCCCAAGATCTAATGAAAAGTGTGAATGGTGTCATACCCCCCCCCCCCCCCCCCCACCCCCTCCTGCCTTTTGGTCTAAGTCTTACAGCTACATCACAAGGGCGCTTTAGCAACGCGAGGAAGGCAAAGACGGGAGAAATCACTCAACCGAGATCGTCTTGTACTATGCTCCTGTCTTCATTTGTAACCTGTCTATAGAGCACTTTCGCAAACACGGCGGAAGCGAAGATGAGGGTAACCGAGCAAAATAATCAATCTGCGCATGTGCGACCAGAATTTTCTTCGTCTTGTTGATTTTCACGACCGTTCTTAGCCATAATAGCGTTCGTTCCTTAAACTTGACGGAAGAGTTGTATCGCTGTACAATAGACTAGTTTCGTAATGTAACCAAATTTAATGCATAAGTCTTTGTGAAGTGCCTCAATACAAATTATTTCATTCACCTGATAAGAATAATAGTATTTCAATAGACAGAATCCGTACTGCCTACATTATTTGATCTCGGTTGAGTGAATTCTCCCGTCCTCTTTGCCTTCCGTCGCGTCGCTAAAGCACCCTATTGTTATTTTAGAAACGTACCTTCTCCTCTGCCCACAAACATCCAATCCACTACATCCACGTGGCTGAATAAAATGATCTGGTATGTCAAAGGCTCATCCACATCAGTGAAATTAGAACATGTGACAGTGAAATCAGTTTGTAGGGCATATCCCTCGTCAGGTGTCACGACACAGGAGCCTAATGCGGGTGGCGCATTGTGGGGCAAGTCAACGCTAAATTCAGCATAGCCATCAGAATCGGACTGGGAACCTGTAAAAAGAAAGTGGAAACATAATGAGTAAAGGATGACCTCAATAATAATAATTCCTTTATGAAGTTGAACAGTCATATTTAATCACCTAAAAATCATATCAAATATAAGGAGAACTTTCAAGTACTATGCAACTACAAATAGTTTGCTTTGTCTTTGCAACATCAAGAATTCATCTAATTTCAAATACTACAAGTACCATACGGTTAGCATAATTTCCATGTACTCTTCACACATATCAGCTACGAAAAGAATATGACATCAACACCCACAAATTTCAAGTCTAACATCTCTATGATTGAGTACTAACCTTTAACTTGCATGATAGTGCTTTAAAAAAAAACTGAACAGGTTGAGGTAAAAAGAAATTCCATTAGCAGCTACAATTTTTGAAGTACTGCAAGCCCAACATTTCAAAGCTTGGCTTGGAAACTCTCGAACATGAAATAAAGTGTTACGAGGTTTAATGACAAAGTATGGTCAGAAGGAATAACACCAGTAACTACAGTTTCCAACATATTACAGGCCTCACATTTCAAAGTTTGGTGTACTTACCAGTAACTCGTAGAATGATGCTACCCATTTCAGATATGGAATCAAATGTGAGCGGTTTGAGGACCAGGTAGGGTTGGTCAAGACCTGTAGTAGTCTGTGAAGACAAGTCACCTATAACAGAGGTATGATTCGACTCAAGACTCCATCGGAAGGATACATCTTCATTCTCACTGTCACAGTTGGTGCATGAGGCATGTAGGACCAGACGCTCAGCTGTGAAGATGTACATGTTGCAGTTACTGATGCAACTATGGATACAAAGAAGACATAGAATGCTGCTTGTAAGTGTCGGCTTGCATGGTGATGTAGATATACAGTAGGCTTGCGGGTGCACCATGTGAGAGAGAGAGGATTGAGGAGTCCTGAAAAGGACTCTCGGTAATCTTTCTTGAGGGTTTGTAGTCCTGAAAAGGACTGTTTGTGTAGTCTTGAAAAAGAAGACATAGTTATGTATGTTATGATGGAAGTTACTATCATTTAGCCTGTAATCTGTAATCGTTCATTATTTGATGAGTGTGCTGGAGCAATTTAGAGCTTCTTTAACAACAGACCCCTTTACAAAATTATCATCAAAGCTGAATAAGCTTAACATATTCAGGGCCTCTTTCTATAAAGAGTTGATCGCGAGTTCTCCACCAATCACAAATTCAGTCACCAATCTCTTATTACATAGTTGCGATTGATATCAATCCCAAATAAGTTGCAGTTGATTGTAAGTGTTTATAAGACCAGGGGGTGTTTCACAAAGATTCTAAGTTGAACTTATCTCTATGTTGGACTTAAAAATTATGGAAAGCTGTTAACATCTATTAAAATATTTGGTAAAAGTTATCTTAAAAGGCATAAAACATTGATTCAAAGCATTTATATTTTCTATTATCAAAGAGATTCATGTCCTTGATGTGGAATTTATAAAAAGTCTAAAATACTTGAATTTTCGCTTTTGAGATATTTTATTTTAAGGCTACAAATGGCTCTCCATAATATTTAAGTCCAACTTAGAGTTAAGTTCGACTTCGGATCTTTGTGAAACACCCCCCTGGTCACAAAATTTCCAATGAATGTTTCCACATCTCGAGTAGATTACATGATTTCTGTACCATTATCTGTGGTTTCAACTGAATCTCATGTTGCGATGATTCAGCAGTTTTTCCTATTCTTACTGTACCTTTGCCCTGTAAAACCTAAAATACACTTATCTATAGATATTTAATAATTGGTTTTACATCTAGAGTCAATTAGGTGACGAATGGGTATGTTAATAAAGCTTGCAGTCCACTGTATACTATGGTAAAATGACACACTAGTTCTCTCACTCCTTGCCTAAGTAATGCATACAAAATGTTTGAAGAGCTTTGGAATATGTCAATTTTTTAAATTTTTGTATAATTGTTTCATATCTTGAGTAGATTACCCAATATCCATCTCTGGCAAAAAAAAGTCATGGAGTCAACTATATTTGTTGTTGTATTGATCCATTGGTTATTACTCCCCTTGCCGTAACCAACCTTTTTAAATGAAACTCTAGATCTAGTGGAATGCTGGAAATCTTAACAAATGTTTTAACATCTTAAGTAGATTACCTTTATTTCTATCTCTGGCAAAAGCCATGGAGTCAACTATATTTGTTGTTGTATTGATCCATTTTTTTTATTACTCCTTTTGCAGAAACCAATCTTTTTAAATGAAACTCTAGATCTAGTTGAATGCTGGAAATCTTAACAAATGTTTCAACATCTTAAGTAGATTACCTTTAAATCTATCTCTGGCAAAAGCCATGGGGTCAATTGGATCTATTGTTGTATTGATCCATTTGTTATTACTCCCCTTGCCGTAAACAATCTTTTTAAATGAAACTCTAGATCTAGCGGAATGCTGGAAATCTTAACAAATGTTTCAACATCTTAAGTAGATTACCTGATTTCTATCTCTGGTAATAGCCCAAGGGTCAAGTGGATTCTTTGTTGTGTCAACCCAGATATTTGTCCTTCCTTAGAGATGTTGAGCCAGAAGTTCATAGTCACATTAGCATTAAGCTTGTTGGCAATTACTTCAATCATAGATGAAGTTGAATTCATCATTATTCCTTCATCCTCAAAACAGGCATTGTCTAAAAAAGAAGATGAATAAAACATGTTAGCTATTGCACAGATATTTACAACCTTTTCTGCTAGCATTTCATTGTTATGTTTTACTGATTTTCGTAAAAAGCTATGTTAGATATGACATGAAGTGGAAGCTCTTTACATCTTAAGTGTAAATAGTATACTCTTTTAAATTAAGCTTTAATTGCTCTAAATGCCGATTTCATGTTTAAATGAGTGGTTCACATACATGTAAAAACATTATGCATAAATACCTGTATTTTGTATTGCTTCATCGAGAGATGAGTACATGACGTCAGGATCAACTACTACACAGTACCACAGAAAGGTCACGTTACTGGATGACCCTGGGGGCACATCCGGGTCATAGGAGTTCGAGCCATCCACTATCAAGTTTGAAGATACACCTAAGGATAATGTTTTACAAAAGAACAGTTGGTCATATTACGTGAGAAAGCAACAACAAAAAAGAAGAAGAAAATGATGAGATAATTAATAAAAAGCAAAAACTCATCAAACTGAAGTTTGGAAGTAAAATATATTTATTCATGAGTATGTTTTATGGTGATATTTTGAATAATGTTTTCAAGTATGATAATGTATTTCATTCATAAACAAAATAATGGAGAAGTACCATGTGACCGTGAGGCTCCGCCCTTGATAACAGCTACCAATGGAGGCGGTTGGATCTCCAACCAACTGATGATTTCTTTTTCACCAGTCACTTCACCCGATGTTTTTAGACGAGTTTTAGCATTCAGATTTAGACTATAAATACCATAGGGTAGAGTTCCCCTTGGAATCATCACTTGACGAGTCTGTTGAGAGAGTATAAGATATTACAAATCATGCACTAAAATGGTTTCCACTACAAGCTTAGGGCACAATGTATACATCAATCTATAGGGAAAACATGCCTTTGAGTCGGATACAATGTCAACCAAATAATTATAATCCAGTTCCACTTGAGGTATACATCTAACGGTGACAGAATATGTGAAAATATACCACAAACTGATTTCACTTCATGGGATAAACATAAATTATTTTTTTTATCTTCAAAAATGTCTTTACATCAAACTGGACTTGGTCATTAAGTTCAAGAACTTCCTGCATTAAAACTAATTGACACAAAAGTAAACAACATTCTTTCTTAAATTTAAAAAAAAATTAAAAATCCGACTTTCAGTACAGAGTGAATAAATTTTGTGCCTAAATATAGGTTTAGGGCAAGGATAACAACTGAACCGTCATGCAAAAATATCATCTGAGAGAAGAAATACAAATTAAATGTACCGGTACATAGATTATACCAAAAGATAATGTATTCGTACAATATTGATGAAATCATCAAATAATAACCATGTATTTACATGTGTGATCTTTTCAAAAGCAGTCACTACATCATCAGCTTCAGTAGATGTGAAAATCCGCCACTTGAAGTCAGGGGTCATGGGGTCGATGCACTTTCCATTTAGCTCCATATGGGTTGAGATATGAATGTCGAAGGCCCTGAGGTACACAGCGGGATGGGGAGCATCGCAATGCTCCTTCACAGACGTGGTCAGGCTGCTGATGCATACATGCTTGACAGTTGCGTTTGCAGTAGCTGTCAGATTGTGAGAGTTCCCGACAGCCGTCGCTTTAATGGTGAAAATTGAAGCCGTGGTGAACCGGACAAGCACTGCATCTTCAGAGTAGACTGTGTATTGAACCGAGTCGCCCGATAGATGGTTTGTGATGGACCACAAGATTTGAGATGACAGTGCTTGAAAGGACCCCAAAACAGATGCAGTCACAAGGATGGTGTTATTAACCCTGAAGATGTTGTCAATACTGGACACTGTCAATATGAACAGATTAAGATGAGAAAATATCAAACAGTGATATAACAGCAAACATTAACAAAAAACAAACTTTTGAAAATATGGCACATGATGCAATCACCAGGGAGTAAGCATATGCAAGTAAACTTATTTAATTCATTTATTGCAACCAGAAGTTTGGATTTCAAATACAGATTAAACACGCAAAGCGATACATAACAATCAGACAATGGTAGAAATAATTTACGCGATCAACTTATATAGAGTAAACAAAAAGAGTGGTACATCAAAAAATGAATAACTATGTGATGGATTACAATCGAATGAACACACACTATCAAATAAATTTCATTTCTATTTTAATTCTATTTTCATTGAATCTTCTTACCTGGGTATTTCTATTTGTAGGATGTTATTTTATGTCACTTACCAAGCTTCATTGAGTATGAACAGTAGTTACAATGTGTCTCTTAATTCTTACCATTATTTGGAAACAGAAGAAGTTCTATGAGTATCATTGCATCAATTGTTCTTGTTGTAGCAGATATAGTGGTGGTTGTAGTAGGAATAGTGGTGGTTGTAGCAGGAACATCGGTGGTTGTAAATAAATAGGGAGGAGCTTGAGTGGCAACAACTTCATGGGGTCTTTTGCATATAGATGTTACAGTATCGTCACATCCCGAGAAAAACCAGTATCTATCAGTTTTCTCAAGATGTCTTATAGAAACGCAATCATGATCTTCATTCTGATAATTGTCAGCTGTAGTAGAGGGTGTGTGAGAGAGAGAGAGAGAGAATAATCAGAACGAATAGAATAACAAAAAGGTTTTAAAAATGTGGTTTATACTTAATGATAAAGACTAAGCAAAAATAACATTTTGATGTTATTAAAAAAATCATTGCATTGTAGCCCTGAGGCTGAATTATACATTATATACCTCACTTAAGAAATCCAGCCATCTGATTGGTCGAAATTGCATTCATAAACTTTAACTATTTCTGTAAAATTCCCAGTAACTATGGTTAAAACAGTTCTAAAATCCCAGTAACCATGGTTACCGGGAAAATAGTTCAGTCTCCAGGGTTACCCCATAGTTTTACATGTTAAAAAATGGTTTGAGCGATCGAGGATACCGTACGTGTGTGAAGAATTGGTCTGTATTTTCATACAAGACAAGACAAAAATGGCTAAAGAAACTGTCCCAAGATTTCAACTTATCAAATGCAAGACTCGCTGACAGCAAGAACAACAAAAAGGGTACGTGAAATTATCCATAAACATGTTAGTTTAGTTGCTGAAAATGGAGTACCAGCATAGACGTAGACGAAAATAGATCTAGTTGTCAGGGTGTCTGATCGCGCACCCGATGTTGTGTGCTATATTCTTCCCATAGAGATTACACGCAATGCAGTCTCTATAATGTCTACGTGCATTGCGCGACCATGCAAAAAAAGTCAAGTTGTTTTTTTTCAATTCGAGACTCAAACCTTTATCTGTTGTGATCCTGAAGGTGATACTCAATAAGTGAGGTGTCATATGAAAGCGCAGGTTCTTCTCTCTATTCCCCACAGGGCCGGTCCACCCCCAAAATTGTAAAAATATCTTGCTTAGACTAGAATCTAGATCTAGTCTACTCTCAAAGATACACTCATAAAAAACAACTGTGCAGATAAACTAGAGAAAGGCCAAGGTGGTGTCATTAGTTGCCTCTTTTGTTTTCGGCATATAAAAGTATTAATGACTGCTTTAATATTCGAGAAATAGTTGTTTTTATACGCTCTCGGGAAGGTTACAATTGGGCTATTGCCCTCGGCACGCCTCGGGGCAATAGCACAATTCTAACCTTCCCTTGAGCGTATAAAAACAACTATTTCTCTCAAAGCAGTCATTAATACTATATTATCACCCATACAAGGCATTTTAGCTGCTAAATAAAAAGTCGTATTTCGCACGCTGCTCCGAATATGAAACGGAGCGGGCAATATTTGCGATATTGCTCTCTTCCAGGTTTTCCCCGTAGACCACTGTACTAAATCATTTATTAAAGTGCATACGAGCAGTATTGAGTAGGCGCTACAGTGTACGCACGGTAACAATCATTGTTACGTCACTATTACATACCTGCCTGAATAACCTGATATCGGATGGACCGGCAAACACACGTGAGTAAAAATCATGCTTGATACCAAAGTTGTATATCATTTGTTAAAAAATGACTTATATAGGTAATAATAATTATATTGACAGGGCTTCTTTCGGGGTACATCATAAATATTGACCGCGCTTAGGCCATATTGCCCTCGTCTTCGACTCGGGGCAATATGATCTTAGATTAGTCAATATTTCTGATATACCCCTCAAGCCCAGTCAATATAATATAAATATTGTTACAATGACATTTTACACAAATATTGCATGCTCTGGTGATCTGAATAAAGAAAGACATGAGGGTAGTTCATGTGTGGAGATAAGGGAGAAGAATACAGATTAAAAGAAGGAAAATGCAAATAGAATTTCTTTTAAGGGATTAAAGGATTGAACAGATACAGACAGCAAGAATATAGTAGACATACAACAATAACAAATTCAAACTGGCATTTAATGTTATGAGGTTATGCAAACTATGAACAACTATAACATAACTCTACAAGCTTTTCATTGGTTACATTTGGTGCTTCATATTTGTTATTTGGGAAATAATTAAAGACCAATTTCAAAGATAATACCTACATGTATCATGATATATTTCTTTGAATTTATGATCCTTTATTTTGACACAAAATTGTACTAAAAAGGACAATATTCCATCTGTACTCATATTTTTGGGAGAAGCAAGCATGGGTTATTAAATGTGTTGATGAAATATACATGAATATTAGTAATAGTATTCAAATTTATTTTAGCCTAAGTATCAACTACAAGATCATAGCAGTTATATAGTCCAATAAAGGTGGTGTCATAAAAACTCAAACTAATTCAATATAAAGATAATTGAATTGTAGACCAAAACCCAGATCAATTATAGAACAAGAGTACATGACCCAGATCAATTATAGAACATGGCCCGAATCAATTATAGAACAAGACCAAGATCAATTATAGAACAAGAGTACAAGACCCAGATCAATTATTGAACAAGAGTACAAGGCCAAGATCAATTACAGAACAAGAGTACAAAACCCAGATCAATTATAGAACAAGAGTACAAGACCCAGATCAATTATAAAACAAGACCCAGATCAATTATAGAACAAAACCCAGATCAATTATAGAACAAGACCCAGATCAATTAGAGAACAAAACCCAGATCAATTACAGAACAAGAGTACAAGACTGACCCAGATCAATTATAAAACAAGACCCAGATCAATTATAGAACAAACCCAGATCAATTATAGAACAAGACCCAGATCAATTAGAGAACAAAACCCAGATCAATTACAGAACAAACCCAGATCAATTATAGACAAAGGCCCAGATCAATTATAAAACAAGACCCAGATCAATTATTGAACAAGACCCAGATAAATGATAGAACAAGACCCAGATTAATGATAAAACAAGACTCAAATCAACTATGAAACAAGACAAAGTCCCTGATCAACTATAGAATAAGTCACTAATCAATTATCAAACAAATTTCTTCATTGTATTTATTCATGGTTTAGCATATATATAATTACCAGGAAAATTGTCGAAGTCAGCTGGAGTTCCATCTGAAAAGTTAGTATACACTCCTTCTGTTTCCAGATCGTTTAATCCTAACCATACAAATTCTGTAAGCATATCTGGAGTACAAAACATAAACAAAGTGTTGATTATCTTTTTGTTCACCAGAAAGGTGAAATTTATCACATTTGTATGAATATCTTGTAACAGTTCACAGGTAGCCAGCTTTGGTGATGATGTTGTTTTTTAAAACTCATAAAAGGATATCATTTTGGTAACTCAAATGGCAATTATTGCAATGTTTTATGAGAAAGGGCAGAGAAATGTATAAATAGTACTTGAAACAAATATAATTTATACTGTAAACTATGAAAATGTTAACAAAATATTTTTGTAAAATACAAGAAGTGAAATGGAACTGAAGACTCTACACTTTCTTCTTAAGGGGACCTTTCAGGCAAAACAATTTCAAATTCCAGACTTTCATTTGTTTGAATTGCGAGAGACTGAATGTCAGTTGCAATGGTCATTTGAAATTATTTGCCGAGACAAGAAACGGCAATATCACCTCTATGAACAAGCTTCCACAATGCAATATTGTGTTAGCAACCTTGAACCAAAGCTGGATTTCTGATTAATTCAGCAAAATCTGGACTGTCTTGAGGCTGATACAACGTGTAACACATCGATAGCATGTAAATGGAATAGAGGGAGGTGACACACCCATTCCTTCCCAATGCAAATGATACCTGCCCATCTAGACTAGGTCAAGAAGATATTTAGGGGCAAGGTTATGTGTTATTTTGTATGAAAGAAGTAGGATTTCAAATGTAATGTAATCTATTTTCTGTTCAATGCTCCTACATGGGCCCATCTGGTGCTATTAATAAGATTTGACCTTCCACTTGATGAAATTAATGTGATGCCAATAAATGGACCTGAAACCTGGGATTAGCTCCTAGGAGCTAGTGTTTGGGTCCTGTAGAGTGTGTTGCAAGGTTGCTGTCTGTGTTTCTTGGAGTAAAAAGGCACCCTAAGAAAATGATGGCACCTTTTCTTCTTTCCTTTTTTGTGTCAGACTTGTGTCAGACTTTTTTTTAACTCTCCAGTACCAACAGCACTTAAACAAAAATGCTCTCAGGTTCCTAACGCAATGTCATTTCAATTTTATGTTGGAAACACATCCCATTCCTCTTTTAATAGTTGTGAGAGGTCATCTCCACATATACCTAAACCACCCCCCTCCCCTCTCCCTTTCACTTGGAGACGATGGTCCCATACATGCCAACATTTGAAAATCAGAAATCTGTACAAATTATGCTATTTTCAAAACAAAGAGGAACAATCCTAACTCTCCTATTCAATACAACAAATTTGTACAGGAAGAGGAACACCTGCATTAAAATGATAATTATCTTCTCCCAAAAAGAGGAATGTTCCTCTTTAATCTGAACAGTTGGCATGTATGTGGTCCATATTCTTACCAAATATAAAGGCATTCTCCTCTGCACTGTGTATGCTAGCTAAGTCAGCACCTGCATCTAAACAGAATTCTCTGCCTTTAGACCACATCCCACCTCTTTCTTCATAGAAGTAACAGTAGCCAGTTGCAGGGTTATGGACCCAACCTGTGGCACAACCATCAGCTGATACGCATGACATAAAAAGAATTTGTTTAAAGAAAGAAAGAAAAATGTTAGCAAATTTATCTTTAAGCACAAAATTTTAATTTTGAAACGATGATCTACACTATTCATTTTGTGCATAGATCATAGACCAAATAGATTTTAACTGTCACTAGCTTATACATGTAGACTATTATTAATAGAAAGATTAAACGAGCACTTATCGTTTGAAATTTGATCTTTCTTTCATGAGTGTCGAGGAAGAGATTACATGAGATCTCGCTTAGCGCGGAGGCACACATACTTCAAAGCACCAAATGTGACTGCTGAACCCATAGAAAGATGTAGAGAACTTAAATTACTTTTGAAGTCATAGGGTGGGAGCTGAGGGCATGTAATCTCTTCCTCGACACTCTCATGAAATAAAGATCAAACTTCAAACGTTAAGTTCTTGTTTAATCTTTCTATTTTACTTTGTGAGTCTCGTTGAAGGGACTACATGAAATATTGAAGCACAGCAGTAACACTTGGCTCATGTGCAAAATACCTCTGCAAAACTAGTACCCAGACAGCAGAGGTAAATAAAAGATGTACTTTTCATCTTGTACAGGATTACTGCTCTAAAATCACTGTTGTAAAGGCTCCCTATCCCTTCACTAAAGGTTCATTGTAGAACTTCCTGAATGTCTGTTTGTTAGCCCTCCCTGCCTGGGTGAGGATATTGAAAATAGGCAGGTCTGCTCTCTTTGCTGCAGAGACCGCTTCAGCACGTGTAGAGTGAAATTTATATGAAGATGTATCAATCCCGGCAGCTGTCAAGGATTTGTTAATCCACCTGGAAATTGTCTGTGATGTAACTCTCTGGTGCAGTTTAGAGAAACTAATGAATAGACTAGATAGAATTCGACTGCACGCAGTCGAAAATGATGCCTCCGTCATAGAGCAATTTTACAAACCAAAACAGAAGAAATTTTTCGGATTCAAGTTCAATTGTAATCCATTGACAGGTTCTCAGAATATCGTGATTACAAGCAATTTCTCATATACATATATGACCCTTTGATCTTTGACCTCATGACCCTAAAGTCTACTCAGTTCATTGGCTCTGCAAGATGTCCTGAGTTAAATAGTAATCCATCTGTCAGTTCTAATGAGAATGCGTTCACAAGCTATTTTTGCATACATAATGAGCCCATGATCTTTGACCTTTGACCTTATGAACCAAGAATCTACTCAGTTCATTGGCTCTGCAAGTAACATACATGACCTAATTTTGGCAGGAATCCATCAATCGGTTCTTGAGATAACGCGATTACAAGCTATTATTGCATACATAATGTGTGCTGTGGCCTTTGACCTTTAACCTCATGACCACTAAATCTAATCAGTTCATCGGCTCTGCAAGTAACATACATGACCTAAGTTTGGCAGCAATCCATCAATCGGTTCTTCAGATAACGCGATCACAAGCTGTTTATGCATACATAATGAGCCCTGTGACCTTTGACCTTTAACCTCATGACCCCAAAATCTAATCAGTTCATTGACTCTGCAGGATACATACATGACCAAAGTTTGGCAGGAATCCATCAATCGGTTCTTCAGATAACGCGATCACGAGCTGTTTTTGCATACCTAATGAGCCCTGTGACCTTTGTCCTTTGACCTCGTGACCCCAAAATCTAATCAGTTCATCGGCTCTGCAAGATACATACATGACCAAAGTTTGGCAGGAATCCATCGATCGGTTCTTCAGATAACGTGATCACAAGAACGGGACGTACAGACGTACGTACGTACGTACAGACGGACAACCCGAAAACATAATGCCTCCGGCTACTTCGTAACGGAGGCATAAAAATCTTCTTGTTTCCTTAAATCCCTTGTTCTGCCAATGCAGGTGGCTCAGCGTCAAATTTATCGATTACCGTATCGTTATTTGCCGGATAAAAGCACCATTTTTAGTTTCCTTGGGACATATTAGGCTAGGACCCCCGGCAAAAATTTCAATCTAAGCGTGTGGGGGCTATTTTTTGGCCACTGGAAATTTGAAAATCACCCCCCCCCCCCCCCCTTGTGCAAGAAACAAAAATAAATTTTGGTCACAATTTTTTTTTTTTGGCCAGGGGGGGGGGGGGGGGGGAGAGGCCTGCTCCCCCCCCCCTGGATCCGCGCCTGGATGGAAGGACAGCCTGAAAACATAATGAATCCGACACCACCTGAAGTTGTCCGAGGCATAAAATGGGGAAAAGAAGTGTAATAAGTTTGATTTAACCTATACTGTTTGATCTAAATTTTGACACTGTGACTGTGTGAGGAATGGATTAATATGATGAGCTCTATATGATCAGGAAGAGACCTGTTGCATGGCCCTCTACGATTATTTACACTTACTGGCAGAAAAAGTAGTTGTAGATTTGCAAATGGACGTTTTATTCGCCCTACAATCTAGAAGGGACCAGTTATCAACTCTAAGATGTTTCACATAAACGCAATCACGAGTTTCACTCTGTTTGTTTTTATCTGTAATAGAGAGAGAGAGAGAGAGATAATAGTCAGAACAAAAAGAATAACAAAAAGGTTTTAAACATGTGGTTTATACTTGATGAAGACTTAGCAAAAATAATATTGTTGAGGCTGAATTATATTGGCTTTTCATTGGTTACATTCGGTGCTACATATTTGTAATTTTGGCAAAATTTGAAGATCAATTTCAAAGTTACTACCTATCATTATACATTTATTTGAATTTCAGTAAACCAATAGGCCCAGAAAGCAGTCAATTCTATGGCTCAATTTGCATTACCGGTATGATCATTAATTTTGACACAAACATTGTACTAAAAAGGACACTATTCCATCTGTACTGATATTTGGGGGGGGGGGGAGAGGCAAGCATGAGTTATTAAATGTGTTGATACAAATTATTTTAGCCCTAAGTATCAACTACAAGATCAAGGCAGTTACATAGCCCAATATGTTTGGTGTAATAACAATTACTAAAACAAGTTAAATATAAATATTATTGAATTGTAGAACAAGACCCAGATCAATTATTGAACTGTTTATGTTTATATTATAACTTTAATACATTGTGTCAATACTATGTTATATTTGTTCTTTATTTTAAAGATGGAAAAATAAATTGAAATTGAAATTGAAAAAAAAAATTGAAATTGAAACAAGACTCAGATCAATTATAGAACAAGACCCACATCAATTATAGAACAAGACTAAGATCAATTATGGAACAAGACTAAGATCAATTATAGAACAATTCCCAGGTCAACCATAGAATAAGACACCTACCAATTATTTAAAAAGATGTCTTCATTCTATTTCTTCTTGGTTTAGCAATAACTACAGGTATACATAATTACCAGGAAAACTTAAGTAGTCAACTGGAGTTCCATCTGCATAGTCGAACACTCCTTCTGTTACCTGATCACTTAATCCAATCCATGCATACCTTCTTATCTGAGCTGGAATAGAACACACACATACAAAAAAATTATCTTTTTGTTCATCCGAAAGGTCAAATCTATTACATCAAAATTGCTTGAGGACCTTTTTCATTAATATCTTGTTTAATAGAAAGATTAAAAGAGAACTACCCATTTGAAGTTTGATCGTTATGTTATGAATAATTTGAGGGAAGAGTCTATATGAGAACCCGCCCGGCACATGCGCAGATCATTTTTAAGCAATCGTGGCTACTGTTGAAGATTGGTCCTCAACCAAATATAAGTTGACAAAAAATTACTTTAAGACGATCTTTTAGAAAAAAGGGATGGAAAGGTGGGCGTATATTTTCTTCCCTCAAATTAATCATAAAATAATTATTAAACTTTGAACGTTAAGTTCTTGTTTATTTTTATAAAATTTAATTCATAATTCCTGTTCGAGAATATATAATATTTCAAAGATTAGTAGTAGTCACAGTGCAGTAACAGTGTGCACTAATTAAAAAGTTGTTACCGACCTGTGGGCACAGTAAGTTGAGGATTCGTGAATCACATCCATAGCATGTAAATGGAATAGAGGGAGGCGACACACCCATTCATTCCCAATGCAAATGCTACCTATGGGGCCCATCTGGTGCTGTTTTGACCTTCCACTTGATGAAATTAATGTGATGCCAATAAATGGACCTGAAACCTGGGATTAGCTCCTAGGAGACCCCTGGACCCCCAGCCAATTAGTGACCTGCCAGTGTAACAAATAAGGTATCAAAATAGGCTTATCTGACCGTAATTCAATGCCTAAAAACCCTGAGCTTCCGGGGGCTCAGCTCCTTAACCCCCTGCCGAGGCTCAGGCCCTGGACCCTACGCCAATTATGCTCTACCTGATCATTAATACTACACTTTGAAGAAATTCCGCGGGCCCTGCATGTAACATGTAAAGTGGTGGTGATGCAGATTTTTATTCTGCCCACACCTCATTATGCCACTGCCCCTGGAAGGTGAGCCCCCTAGAATGTTTGTCCCCCCCCCCCCCCCAAAATCCCAAACTGCTTCCGGCGCGCTTAGTCGGAAACAATCCCATTCCTCTATTAAAGTTGTGAGTGGTCATCTCCTCATATACCTAAACCTACCCCCTCCCCTCTCCCACTCACTTGGAGACGATGGTCTGGATTCTTACCATATACAAAAGCATTCTCCTCTGCACTGTGTATACTAGCCAATTCAGCACCGCGTCCTTGATCTATACAAGATTCTCTGGCTTGGGTCCAATTATAATCTACTCTTTCCCATAGGTAACAGTATCCAAATGCAGGTCCATAAAACCAGGGTCTAAAACAGCCGTACTCTGATACGCACGACATGAAAAGAAATTTTTTAAAGGAAGACAAACATTAACAAATTTATCTTTTAGTTTCAGCACCAAGTTTTATTTCTAAATCTAGATCTATGCTAGACATTGTCTGCATACATGTAGATCATAGACCATATAGACTAGTTGATTTTTGGTCACACCAGGCCCCTGAGGGTCCACCATCTTTGTTTAGACATTTGAACGCTCCCGAAGCCTCATGAATTATTCATTTTAATAATAATAATTACATTTATAGGGTGCTTTATACAGGCAAGCGTACAGGTGGTACTGTCTAACTTAGTATAATTATTCAACATGTTCAATACCTTAAAAGCAACATAAATATACCGTAATTGAGTTGAATAGAATTAACTACTTGTGTGCGTCTCCAAAAAGTATACTATAACTGATTAAAAAGGTGGGTTGTGAGAAGGGTTTTGAGTGATTCAATGGATGGGGCATTTTTAATATGGGGTGGGAGTTTGTTTCAGAGGGCGGGGGCAATCGATGAAAAGGCACGGTCACCATAACGAGTTTTTGTTTGGGACCATCAATTAATTGCATGGAGGAAGATGAACGGAGGGATCTGGCAGGATAGGAGGATCGAAGGGAACTATAGACTAGGTCAAGAAGATATTTAGGGGCAAGGTTATGCGTTATTTTGTATGAAAGAAGTAGGATTTCAAATGTAATGCGAGAATGGACCGGTAGCCAATGAAGTGAGCGAAGAACAGGTGATATATGGTGATATATTTTCTGTTCAATGCTCCTACATTTGTATATGCTCTTCACGCAACAGTAACAACAAACGCAGATCAGCTTCGAGCATGCGCATTGGGAGAGGTCATTGTATTCTGCCTTCAGATAAAATGAAAAATATTCATCAAATAGCACCAACCAGCATGAATATTTTTCTGTGATAATATTGTCCAAAATAGGTCATTTTTATTTCTGGTTTTTCAATTTATCTTTAATTTCTTGATTAGCAAGGAGCAATTGCCCTACATAAAAAAGTTTATAGTAGGTAATAATCTGTGTCGACTTAGTCTAATACTAGCTTACCTGTTTCACACATGCTCCCAGTAAAGCCTTCTTCACAGAAGCAAGTAAAGTTGTTAAATCCATCAGCACAAGTCCCTCCATTCATACAAGGAGCAGAAGCACAATCGACAGTTTTTGAGGAAACTGAGTTCCAAAGACAAAATGAATGGGATAAAAATGATGAGAAAACTTAACTTTTTGGCACATTTATCTATTTTGCAGATAACAGGAAAATCAAGTAAAAACTGGTATTTTAATTGCAAATTAATGACAGTTGAGGTATGAATTACTTCATTTGAAAAATTATGAATATAAAATATAAATAAAATGAAGTAAATTAACCAAATATTTCTTTTAATGTTTGAATCATTTCTAAGATTGTGGCCTTAGTAAGAATTATTTTCTGGAAAAAATCTGATTGTCTGGCAGACTTGATACGTTAGAAAATAAGGTAAGTAAAGCGAGTGATCTTGATCATTTGGGGGTGAAATATACGTTAAACGAACACAGAAAGGTCCTAGTCTATACATGATTTACATGTAGTGTTGTGAGAATACCAACACCAGCCAGCACAGCATTTGGATTGACTTTGAAAAATATTTCCGGCAAGCTAAGCAGTGTTGAAGGCTAGTGTTGAATTTTGTCTGCTGAACTGAGTATCCCGATACGGCAAGCTCTTTTGCTGAGGGCTCAACTTCTCTCCAACACGTATTTGGTTCAGACAAGATTGTGCAAAATCCAGAAGGCAGTTGATCCGCAATGGCTCCTGTGCAAAGGTGTTGGTGAGACAGTTGAACACTTTATAGCATCCGACTCATCTTCAGATACGCCATGACTTTGTCTCCAAAGTAAATGAATGTCTCCAGGATTACCCATTGTGTGCGTCACAATATGATGACCGTGATCCATGTTTATAATAATAATAATAACTTTTACTTATATAGCGCTTTTCATAAAACATTTATATCAGAGCGCTTTACAATATTGATACAATTAAAACTAAACAGAGCAATGACAAGAAAACAAATATGAAGTGAAACTATGAAACATAAGATAACAAGGTAAGGTAACAATTTAAGAACTAGGTAACAATTTAAGAACTAGGTAACCATTTAAGAACTAGGTAACAATTTAAGAACTAGGTTGAATATGCATTTTCCATTAGGTAGGTTTTTAATTTTGATCTAAACAAAGTAATATCAGAGATGCAACGAATGGAGGCTGGGAGAGAATTCCACAAACCTGGAGCAGAGCATGAAAAGGACCTATCATCAAAGAAATTTGTTTTTGCTTTTTTAACGGTCAAGAGAGTTTGATTTGCAGAACGAAGGGGCCTATTGGGTGTGTATAATTGAATCAGTTCAGAAAGATAATTTGGGGCATGACCATGTAGAGACTTGAAGGTTAAAAGAAGAACTTTGAACTGGACGCGAAATTGAATGGGGAGCCAATGCAATTGTTAAAGGGTTGGTGTAATATGGTCATGTTTTTTGGTGAGAGACACTAGACGTGCTGCAGAGTTCTGGATTCTTTGCAGCTTGGCCATATCTTTTTCCAGAATTCCATGGAGCAAGCTATTACAACGGGGTCTATTGGCTATTCATAAGGACCGCTATTCATAAGGTCCGCTATTCATAAGGACCGCTATTCATAACGTGGAAATTCCCGTACTTCCTGGTCCGCTATTCATAATGGTAAAAGAGGGTCGCTATTCATAATACGAAATGAGGGTCGCTGTTCATAATAGGAGAAGAGGGTCGCTATTCTTAATACGAAATGAGGTTCGCATATTATAATAGAAGAGGGTTGCTATTCATAATAGAAGAGGGTCGCTATTCATAATACGAAATGAGGTTCGCTATTCATAATAGAAGAGGGTTGCTATTCATAATAGGAGCAGAGGGTCGCTATTCATAATAGGAGAAGAGAGTCGCTATTCATAATAGGAGAAGAGGGTCGCTATTCATAATACAAAATGAGGGTCGCTATTCATAATACCGAAAAAGTCAAAATGACATAAGCAATAACTAAATGTCAATAAGAAAGCGACATACTGGATAGAGGATACCCCATGGCTACAGCGTAGGCCGTGGCTGGGGCGTAGGCCGGGAGTGGGGTAGGCCACATGGTCCCAAACATTTGAAGAAATTTTTAATTGAAAACTCACATTTCTGAAGAAAAAAAAGGCGTGCCCCAATAATGAACGTGTCCCATCTTTCCGGTCACCAGCCCCCCCCCCCCAAGTAAGCCTGACCACGCTGCGCCATTCTGCCCACCCTCCCGGCAGTATTCCCTTGGTACATGTACATATTAGCGACAATTCTCGTCCAAGTAGTTCATAGATGGCGTAGCCTGTGTGTGTCTAAGGGTGGGGGTCGGTGGGGTTGTATCAGTGTTGCCTTCGAGAGAGGGTTGTAGGGACTTAAGTTATATACCATATTCAAGCTTTTCGTAATATACAATGTCGCACGACATATTTTCCATATAAGTAAGGAACAGTGGCGGATCCAGGGGGGGGGGGGCCCGGGCGCTCAAGGGGGGGGGTGCAAATTGAAATTTTTTTGAGGATCAAAAAAAAAAAAATGTGCTCACTACCCCCCCCCCCCCCCCCCCCCCCCCCCCCACTGAGCGACATTTCGGCCGGCGCGATTTTCAAATTTCCGGGAGCAAAATAATAAAAAAATTTGGGCCCCCTCCCCTAAGAAATCCTGGATCCGCGCCTGGTAAGGAAGTTGGATATTCAGAATCAGATACAATATTTTTTTTACCGTAAGACATTATGCGAACGGTTGCATCCCCTGTATCATGTTTTTTAAAAAATTATTTTACTTCTTAGCTTTGATAATTATAGACATCCCCATAATAATATATATATTTCCCCCGCTACAGCGGTGAAAACAAGAAGGAAAACACACATAATCCTATCGTCATTTGTCTCGCTCGTGGGAAATCTTGCCCCACCACCCTGCCCCCCCCCCCCCGACTAAGCTTATCGTGGCTACGCCACTGGCACATTAAGTAGAACAAGCATGCTCATTATCATAGCCATTTAAGGACTTAGTTGGCTATTTTAAGAAACTAGTAATTGTTTATATGAAAATAATATTTGTGTAAAAAGTAACTTTTAGTAGGACTTATGGAACTACAAATTATATAGCCTTAGTCAGATCCAGGCACACAGAAGTTCTTCAATTTCAGCCAATGAAGAGTTTCAAGTATTCAGTTTTCCATGAATTATCATGCCTCAGGATACTAATAATCATATTAATTAACCCAACTTGATTTATCCAAAAACTTGATCTCCTGAATCTTTCCTAACATCGAAAACGAACGGAGTTTGACCAGACCATTAGCCTATATACACTGTGAAAAAGTTGGGCAATATTGTTTAAATTGGCGTGGGGTCCAGGGGCAAAGCCCAGGTGAGGGTCAAGGAAGCTCTGGTGTTTTAAGCATTAAAATAAGGTCAGATGAGCTTCCAGGGGCCCGCCTAAGGTCCTTTGGTGGGGTCTGCATGCCCCCGGAAGCTTGGGGGTTTCTCGGTTTCTCCCTTTCCTTTCTTTCCTATCTTTTCCTTTTCTTGTTTTCTCTCTTTTCCTTTCCCTCTCATTTCCCCCCTCCCCCTTTTCTCATTTCCCCCCGACAGCAGCGCAATTTTACCAACAATATCCCGAAAGGTGGGGGGGGGGGGGTGTCGCACCCCCACACCCTCCCCCCTTTAGCGACGCCCCTGCCTATACCGGTCATTTTTCGTACCGTTTACCGTCCGTACATCCAGGCGCGGATCCAGGGGCGAGGTGGCAAATGCCCCCCCCCCCCAAAAAAAAAGGAGAGAGAAAGAGAGAGAAGGAAAAGAAGGGAAAGGTAAAGAGGAGAGAAAGGAAAGAAAGAAGAGGAAGAAGAAAAGAAATGGGGGGAAAGAAGGTAATCGGGGGGTGGGGCCTTGCCTCCACCCCCTCCCCCATAAAAAAGAGGAGAAAAAGGGGAAAGAAAAAAAGAGGAAGAAGAAAAGTAAAGAAACGGGATGTCAGTTGCGATTTTCCCGCCAACAAGGTTTGGATCGAAAGGCCCTTGCCTCCCCCTTCCCCTCAGCAAAAATAAGAAAGGGAAAGAAAATAAAGAGGGGGAAAAGATACGTTTTTGCGCCCCTCTCACCCAACCCCCAAACGAGAACAAACGCCAGAAACGCCACTGGACACCACAGGCATACTCAGTGACGGATCCAGGGGGGCCGAAACGGTCACGCCCCCCCCCCCCCCCTATTGTCGGCGCAAAAAAAAAGGATAAAAAGAAGAGAAAAAAAAGGAGAAGACAAAAGAAAGGAGAAGAGAAAAGAAAAGAGAAGAGACAAGAAAGAAGAGAAAAGAAACACAGAGAGAGGGGAAAAGGAAACCCCCCCCCCCCCTTCCTCCCACTCCGGGGTCGGAGGGACCGAATTCGTGTCCCCAAAATCTCTGTTAAAGGAATACTTTTCACGCAACAAAGTCTGGCCCGTAATACACAAAAATCTGGCCCGTACTGACTTTACACACCGGAGATAGAGGGGTGCTTTCAAAGGGAGGGAAATGCGTACGCGTACCCTAGATAACACTGAGTGGGGGGGGGGGGGGAGCCGGGTGAGAAAGGTGGAAAGACAAGGAAATGGCGCTTAGTGACAGTAACTTTCGAGCCACGGAATTAAAGTTAAATGTTAAAACAGCCCCTGCCCTGCAAAGTCAATTTTGTAATTAACGGTAGGGGGGCCGCTTCACAACTCTTATTTTGCCCGTCATTTGGCTTCAGCTGATATAAACTCGCTTGAGCTTGTATTTGAGCTCATGTTGGTAGTAATCATAGACAGGGCGGCAATCCTGGGCTCGATAGGAGGACACGTCCCCCAAGAAATTTAGAAATATAGCTAGAAAGATATAATTATAGTGGAAAGAACGTACATATTGGGCTTAGGGATTTCCTAGAGTGCATAATAATGTCAGCATTCAACATTGCAAAATCTCGCTTGGTCGTTACGCCCCCTCGCCCAATAACACAAAACTATGATATGACACTCAGCCCACGCTCCCGGCCGTGATTTATCCATGGTTGTTGCAATAATTGTTGTTCTTTTTCATTTCTACTAACATTATTGTGTGCTATCACAATCATGA